TAACATATCGACTTATATGCAATCAGATCATGCCTACATGCGCACGCAAAAACACACACACACGCACACCATACAAACACAAGGGCACAAGGGTCAAAGGCCAACAGTTGTCAGCTTAATCTGAATGAACGTGAATGCAGCTTCATGATTTAACTGATCACAACATGAATACATGTTTTTATTTTTTTTAAAATATGTTATAATTTTATTTACAGTATTAAATAGGGACAATATTTATAAAAATGCACATGTATTTACAGGTAAAATTGGCTTTTTCTTTCTGCTTCAAACACTATTTTGGTTTCTACATCACAGTGAGATGTTTCAGGTGATCAGCCATGCTTATTGTGTTCTTTAGTATTTTATGTGTGGAAATAAACGCATACAGACAATGAGGTTGTGTATCCTCGCTATCCAAAGGGCCCTTTCACCGTGTGTGGATGTGGGTGGGAGGCACAGACTGTCAATCATCGACGCTTCATTGATCAAGGACAATCCTCGTCGTAAAACTGGTCTTTTTCTTAAGAAATCACTCACTCCGCATTAATTATCACCCTGCCTGATTTGTGTGTGTGTGTGTGTGTGTGTGTGTGCATGTGTAGGCTGTGCATGCTCGTATTTCTGTGCGTGCTTGTGCGTGTGTGTGTGTGTCTATGCAGCTGAGCACCTCTTTCTCACTGCATGCACTAACTCAAGAGGAGCCCGTGATTAAATAAAATTCCAACACCCTCCTCTAAAATACAAGTTAGTATTCAAGTAAAGCAGCGACCTTTGGTTGAATCTCACAAAGAGAAGTGCAAAAATGTGGAAAGGGTGTCATGGTGGTCACAGTCTGTGGACGCAAAAAAATAGAAATCATTGAATTCAGCTGTGGGAATAAAAGTAATGTCAGAGGTCTTTAGAGTGTTTTTAACTAATGCAGGTCCAAGTTGGATAAATCTAAAATATCAGACTGTAAATGTTAAGATTTGCCAAGAAAAAAAAGAAAACCGAGCAAATTACAGATTTAATCTCACTTAAATATTAATAAATAAATAAAATGGTAATATTTGTGCATTTATACAGCCATCTAAAGGGATTTGAGAAATCTGTCTTGATCAGAGGTCATGAAAATGCTTCAATAATTTAATATCAATCTTCTTTTAATATATTTGTTTTGTTTCAGGTTATAAATATTTATATCCTCCTTCTATTTTTATTTTCAGAAACCTGGCAGCTGGATGACACATTTAACCTGCTCAAAAGTAAAAAATAATGGCACCTTAATTTGAAGCATATTTTGTAAATAACAAAAAAAATTCAAATGAGATGTTTCTGTCCTTTATTGTTGTAACAGAGTAAAAATAAAACCATATAAATGCTTTGTAAGACCTTAAAGTGGCAGCTTTTTGTTTACCTAAAACAAGGGGAGTGTAGCCTGTTAACTTAAAAACCTTTAACATAAAAAAGGGAAAGAAAATTGCAGTAAAATCAAGGAAAAAGAGACTAAATGTAAGTGTTCTCCATTTGTAATTATTCATCCATTTAATAAAAGCTTAATCTGAACACCTTAATCTGAATTCACAGCTAAAAGAGACCACAGCTTCAAACATTATAAGATTGATTAAACATTAAAATTCACTTTAAACAAGGTACACTGCTTTATTTCTTCGCACTAGCCCCCACTACCACAAACCTCATGCAGCCACACTTTAAAATGGTGAAAGACTCCACGCAGATTTTCTCCATTAAAGCGGACTTCAGCACGATCCACAGCCGGAGCTTTTTTTTCTCTCTCCGCCTCACGTGCAGCCTACAACCTGAATTGTTTCGAGTTTTACTTGTTTCCACAACTTTTCACCATGATTAGCCATCGCTTGGTCCGCATTATCCCGAAAACTAACCTCGATTATTCTAAATATTCAACGTATAATTTCCCCCTCTCTGCAGTATTCCCTTTGATTCACGCTTGACTCATATGGCTTCGGGGCCAATGGGGGTCCGCCTTTGAGGCGCCTTGAAACCGTCTCTTCTTATCCCCTTTCATCATCTCACCCGGGAAGCCTTGAAACCGCAGGGCCAGTTATTGCCTTTTTTTCAGACAGCCCAATGCGGACTGGCCAACAGCCAATCAGAATCTTGTTTACATTCTGGTGAGTGACAATGCTCTGGCGCCGCGCTGGCCAATCAAAGCCTCGCACACAGGAGGGGATTCATTTGTAAACATTCAGCATAATGTAATAACCAAAGTCCATTGTAATAACATGAGGGAGATGTAGGAATTACTGTCTTGTCTGCATCAGTCAGTGTAGACTTTCAAGAAATTGGATTTGAAACCATTTGTCGGAAAAGGCTCGAGTGTCTATGAAAGAGAGAAAATAGACACAAGCACAGTGACTGTTTGATGTGCAGGCACATAAAAGTGCCAAAAATAATTAGCAAAGTTTATAAAAAAGGGGAATTTGTTCAAAGCTGAGCTATTCATACCAGGCTGGGATTTCACTCTGCACAATTGAATAGATTTGGATTTATTTGCAGTTATTTTTTTTCCTCTATTTTTGTAATTTGTTTAATCTTTTATTATCTTATTTTATTTCTGGCAAAAAGACACTCTTCACATTTGATATGTGGCAATCTGAACTCCCAATCAGAATCAGAAAATAGGGAGTTTTGAGTACTTTTAAAGACAAATAGCACATTTATATTATATCACATCTGTATTATATTTGCATTATATTTTATTTATTGTATTGTATTTTTATTCTTGGCTTGGAAACGGACCTGGGTACTTATTTCGTACCACACACTGTCAAAGATGTAGGGTATAACAAATAAAGTTCCTTGAATCCTTATATAGTCAGATTTGGTCCTTTATTTACATTTAATTAAATAAAGACAACATTTATATTTTTATTTCTGCTTGATTACATTTTATTTGCTTTGTTACTCATTTCTTTAAGATACAGTCTTTTAATGTAAAAATTAAAATGGGACTTATAGACAATTTAAATCAGTGAGATTTAATACTAAAACACTCTCCTGCTCACCCCTTTTATTGATTTAACCATCAAACAGTAGCCTTTGAGGACAAGAAGCCACTCTAATACATGCTGAGTTTTGAAGTTTTTATCCATTGAAAATATCTATTACTAAAAATTACTTTGTGCAACAACACAAATTTTTTCATACCCCTTTTTCTGCTGGTTAATTTTACACAAACACTAAGTTAAACAAAAAATCTGTAAGTCACTAGGTTTGTCCCTTCTGTGTCACAGTAGAAATAGCCATGTAAGATGGCAGCCTCCATGAAAGCAGACTTACCTTAATGTTGCTTTAAAGGTATATAGCAATAGAATTAAGTTTGGGTGAGTAAATAGTAATTTTTATAGACTGTATATATTATGGACAATTTGGTTTTGCCCTCGCCTGTATACGGATTTGAAGCCAAAAAGCTCTTGGTAATCCCGTGTGAAAACATGAACCCCCTAATGACCTTTAAAAACAGAGCTTCACAGAAAAAAAGAGGACTTGAGCACAAACCAGTCTGACAGTAACTACACATCAACATCGCAAGCAGCGGGGAATAAAAATTATATTCTGTGTAATAAATTTCTAAAATTTGTCCACAGTCCCATAAGCTTTGCTGGCGGAAGCGAGATTTATGACCTATACTGCAGCCCGCCACCAGAGGGTGCTGTTCTCGGAGTGGCTTCACCCAGCCAGGTGGCAGACGAATCCATTCTATATACAGTGTATGGTAATTTTATTCCATGTCTACCCTGTCTGTAATGCTTAATGCCCATTTAGGCCTACACTCACTCTGCAGGCTACTGTGTTTTCAGTCTAAAGGTCCTTACACACCGGGAATGACGCAAATATACGATGCAAAATTACGAAATGTTCAGAGGCGAATTTTGACGCGCCTGACTATACACATCAAGCCCGATGCGATTTTGCGACTTTCCGGGGGGGAAGAAAGACGCATCCCGGGTGGAAGCGAGAAGACTGACACAACACCAGACTGAGTGTTTTTTAGGTCTGATTAGACACTAGTGTTGAGATGTCTGTCTGTCATGATAGCATGTACTGAGTCGGGGCCAGTACCAGATAAGAACATTAAACTATAATCCATAAACGTAAGGTAACAACCGAAAACTAATGGTGCTGTGACAGAAACACGATTGAGTTTGAGACAGTGAAAATACATATGGTATGTTGTATCTGAACAGGTTAGCTTATGAGCTAAAGTTACTTAGCACGGATGAAAGTTAAAACAGAGACATTTAGCAAACTGTTAAAGCACACAAACAATCGTCATATGAGAAATCCGACGCTTTGACTCTCCACAAGTTGAGAAATCTGATGCTTTGACTCTCCACAAGTTGTCGTTATCTTTGTAATGTTTGTGCTTTTTATCAAAAAGCACTCTGTTCTCCGAAACAATCAGCCGGGCGGCCATGTTGGATATACCGGTGAATCGGACGAAAAAATAAATGCCGCAGTATCGCAGGACGGGAAAACGTTGATGTGAACGCTTGTATCAACAGGATACGGGTTAAAAAAAAATATTGACATCCTAAATAATTGCACGAAAAAAAAAACGGTCCTGGTGTGAAAGGATACAGTCAGCCAATTATCAGCTAAATATCTTCTTTTATTCCAGTCAATTCCTGGTTTTCTAAAAATACCAACAAAAATTGAAATGCTTTCTCACGCTGATGTTCACCTCCTATGCACCTTCATCTACCCACTCTCATCTTAACCTGTGTCCGGGAAGCACTGAGCCCCATTGTGGTTCATTTTAGACCCATTCTGTGCTTTAAATCTGGCGCTTCTCACTCTGTTTAGCATTGCCAGTCACCACACCATTGGCCCGCCCTGACGGCCAATCACAACCCTCCTTATCTCCGGGCGGGCGGCACGAGCTCATCAACATGCAGGTATCCGACCAATGGGAGGGCGTGTTTACCCTGCCCCGAGACGCGAGGTACGCAGTTGCACCGGGAGAGAAACCGCTGCTCGGAGATCCGAGCCGCGATCCAGCCAGGCCGGAAGCCGTAGTCCCACAGCTTCCATAGACTGACGCAGAAGGCTCCTGCACAGCCTCAGATGGAAATATTGTAGGATTTCACTTTAGCCACATGCTTGATTTTATATCTTCATTTTAAATGGGCGTCGCACTTGGCCTTGCTTCTACCCTCCCTGTGTTTTGTGATTTTATTATTTATTGTTATGCAAGGATTTAACATACCAGTAAGTAGTAATTTTATATATTGTATTTTTTTATTGAATAAAACTATCTGAGGGTCTGTTTTCTCGTAAAATTAACAGAGGTGGAATTTAGAGCAAAATGCTTCATGTGTCACAGTACAAAGCTTTAATTTACAAAAATAATAAAAAATGACTGTATTAATAAGGCTGTTAGTGTATTCTAGCTGTAATAAATCGTTAGGTTAATACATTTCGTCGTGCAAAAATAAATGTCCTCAAATATATAAAAATATTATCACAGTAAGCAGTTATGATGAGAGAACTGTATGGTTAATAGTATTAATATTAATATATCTGGTTGGAAGGATGGGCTATGTAAAATGCTGGCGTTTAGTGCGATTTTGTTAAAAGATAAAACTACACGGTTCATTGTCCCATTTGTCGATGTTTTGTTTCTAATTATCTTACTTATTTTTATCATCGTGTCAGTCTACTTCAATAAAAATGTGCAATTTAGTGAGATTTAGAGACGTGTATTAAAGGCAGCGAATCATATCAATCTTTATCGTACATAGATTTAGTCGTCGACAACCTTAAAAAATCCAAAAGCGCTCAAATATAAGCAGAGAATTAGTATTTAGCGAGCGGGAGACATGTTGATACTCGCCCCGGCCGAGGTGCACTCCTCGCCGGTCAGCTCAGTCACGGAGGGCCGCCTATCCTGCACCCTGTTCGGAGCGACGCTACACGGCGTAATTTGATTTATTATCCGCGCTTTAGCTTTCAACGAGACCCTGCGTGTGAAATTGACAGCTGTTTAATGAATTGGATTATGGGCGTATTTGATCGTTTTTTAAAAAATCATAGCGTGTTTTAGCAGAGGGGATCCGCATATATGAAGCTGAAGGGAAACAACGAGGGGTGTTCACGGTGCTGCCTTTAAATTCCACCGAATGCGTAAAAGCAGCTTTTACGCAGCAGCAGTTTTGTCAGAGCAGGTAAATTTAAACATTTTTTTACTCACGGTTTTTTTGTGCGTGTGTGTGGACGTGGAGTAGTGGGCTGAATGCAACAGCATGGCGAGGGGGAAGGTAGGCTAATGGCTGCCTGCAAACCACTTTCTCAGTGTGGAGACAAAGGCAGTCCTCCTCCTGACGGGCAGCCATTCACCTTGGATCTTCCACACTCCACAAATTGAAGCCTGTGCGATCATTTTTTTGGCTTTAGCGAGGTTTTCTCACACATTTTTTAAACGGGAAGGCTCCATGCACATGCATGCACTCACGGTATATGCGAGGCGTCAGCTGAATTGATTTTGTCCCAAAGAGCTCCGTGAGGAAGGCTTTTATTGTTGTTGATGAAGCACTGAATCGCAGGCAGGCTGTAACTGGCTACATGTGGAGATAATAGTGCTGGGTGAAATAGCACATAATAAGATAATACACCTTTGCAATTTAACACATTTACTTTATATGTTATTTTAATTTTTATTTAATGGGCTCTCTGAGAAATCACTGGAACCCCAAATTGAGAGATGAAATTGTAAATCCAGAACAGTCTGCAGTGTTTGGAAAATTCATCCATGTAGGGTTTATTTATTAATTAATTTATCTGTATCTATAAAAATTAAGCTGCCTTCTGTTTGCCTGTTTTATGTCTGATTACTCTCAGGCATCAGTGGGGCACACATGTGCTGTCACCTATAGACAAAAGCATGTAGTATCTCTCACCGTGGAATTAAATTTTATCTGTATTTTAATTTCTTGTTTATTCCACGCAATTCCATTTTTTTTTTAAAGTTGCAGCCTGTAAATGTGTTTTTACTACTCCATATGATTACCTGACCTGAAATAGGTCAAAGCAAATGAAGACAGTGAGAGTTCAGTTATTCACATGCACACACACTCACGCGCGCGCACGTGCAACTACACACACACACACAGAGGATACACACACACACACATTACAGTAAAGGAGAAGAGTCCATGTCTTGCAGGAGCTGATGCATCTCTGTTGGGAGCATTTTAATAATATGCTTTAACAGAAAATATCACGTTTATTTAGTGACTTTTCAAAATAAAAGCACGTTTCTTTCACCTGATGGTTCACAAATTGCTCCATGCACGATGCAATTTTATTTATTGAGACACTTTAATGATAAACAAGGTTATTTTAGATCCAAAATAACACGTATGCAGAATTACTGTTTTTTTTTCTTCACTATTTCATTGAAGTGTAAATGGGACTATAATGTGAGAGCTGGATGGAGATTATAGAAGCAGGGGGAAGAAAAAAAAAAACGCCTGTATCAATCGTAGACAATAGGACGTGCAGGAGAAGGCAGGCAGCGTTGTTCACCTTGAGAAATGAGCTGAGCAGGCTTCCATCATTGTAACACACCCTAAATAGGACAGCACATTTCCTCTTCCAGGAGAAACACCAAGATTCCTGCAATGTTGAAAGAATTCCTAAAAAATACATAAATTGCATATTTATATATTTACCGTGATTTTAAGGAGAGAGTGACAGCTGGCGATTACTGATATGTATAGGCTGTATTTGACTTAAATGTGTGGTCAAAATCTGATATCATTATTAAAAAGAAATGAATATATAGAGGGTTAAAGTGTGCCATCTGCTCCCTGTGCTTCTGAGTGTGTGTGTGTGTGTGTGCAATATGAAGTGCTCCTCTCCATACGATGCATGCAGGCCTATATCCCAAGCAGGCTGATCAATAGAGCTGAATGTGAGCCTGCCTCAGTGGGCTATTGGACGCCTCGCTGGCCGTTTCTATACGCGCTGACTTGTTTTGCATCCTCGGTTTTAGGTAGGAAAATGAGATTTCAGCTCAGTGTAGAGGAAATTTTGACATGACAGAAAGGATGTCACAGCAAAATCCAATGGAGCTGCACTAATGATTTGTTTTTTTTTTGTTGCATTTCATAGGACTAGACTGCGCTGTCAGTAATTTTGCATCGTGTTATCCTTAAACCGTGCTCTCATTTGTCTTTATAATGAACGCTGCTTTGATTTTCTCCTTTGGCAGAAAAGATGATCGGGGGCTGCTACGTTTTTGGCTGGGGAAGCCTGCGATCGACTGAATGCAACACCTAGATCTGACGGAGAGGATTATTATATGGGTTGCATTTGATTTTCCTGACCTGCCCTATCCGGATTTCGGATTACTAAACATTCTTCGGAATGGAAGGACGGGATTTCGCTGCTCCGGCGCACCTCCTATCAGAGCGGGGCGCCCTGGTGCACAGAGCCGCCTCTCGGATCGCTCCCTCGGGCCACAGCTCTGTGCAGCACGCCGGTCACTTCCCGCCGGGGAAATATTACCCCTCGCACATACCAATGGCTCCCCACTCAGGTTAGTGAAACATAAACGAAAGGTTTTGTCACACACTAACACAGAGCTGCTGATATGTTGTTCTAATAGCAGCAACATACATTTATCTCAGTGCTGTCTGTTGTTTCAAACGCTCTTGTCATGATGTTGCGCCATAAAGCCTGCTCATTTATCAACGTTGAGTACATTGCTGTAGCCTGCATGTGAAGTGAAGCACAAAGCTTATTATTATTATTTTTTGCAGAAAAGGGGCTTTCTATTAAAAAGTGGTTGCTCAGCTCAGGTGTGGCTGTTGACAGAGTTTCACAGTTCAAATATCATCTAATAAATCAGGTGATATTTGATTTACTCCAGGCCCACAATCAGAAATTTTGATTAAGCTGAATCAACATTAAATATCTCAAAGGTAATAAAGGCATCTTAGTTAAACAAATAGACATTTGAGGAGTTAGGTAAATGCCATGGTATTTAAAAATGGCATTTAAGATCTGTTTTAGTTTGCTCATAGAGACTTCTTGGGCTCTGCATGGTTTCCCATTGGCTCTGGAGCGGAATCTGAAATGAGATCTTGTCAGCCTAAGTTAAATTGATAAGTGTCACACTGGTGTCAGGCTTAAACAAGGCCCATACCTAAATCCTGAGTGAGGAAAGGATGGAGCAGGATGAGCAGGTCTGCATGAGTTGCAGCGTATGGACAAGGGCAATAGCAGAAAATACTCCTCCTATATTAGGCTTCAAAGTGTCAGGGTGCAAATGTGTTCACAGCACATGCATCAGGTTTAACAAGTGACTTGGGTATCTTGTGTACCAAAATGTACATTTACAAACATGGGGGGCACACATTACCACTCCAGAGGACAGAATCAACTTTCACAGCTGAAAAAATCTTCAAAATAAAACACAGAATCCTGAAAATACAAAATCATAGCGGCGCTTTTACTGCAGAGGTTTTGTTAAGATATTTTTTCGCATCATTTTTATTCAAAGGTGTTTCACTGCATCAATAACAGGTATTTTTTTCCCTCCTAATTAGCATTGAGATAAAGAGTAATTTTCTAACTCATAGCATTGTAACAAACTGGATCACAACACGCCGTTGTAGCTCCTATTTTGTCCAACCCTGTTAAACAAAAGAAATGTAAATAAGTCACAACAGAGGCGTATTGATTGCATCAAACAGTTACACTTCTGAGGCACTTTCCTTTGAAAATATGGTAATGTTGCTTCTAAAAACATGTTATCATGCGGCAGCGGAGGAATCTAGGGTCAGTGCGAAGCAGGGAAAAATTATCCCTTTAAAGTTATTTTATGTAACGTATATGAGCTAAAACAAAAAGCTGGAAGCTGGCTCGGTGTAGGTGGTTGTTGCAGGTTGTTAAACACAGTTGCCTGTTTAGGTGATCTTGCATTAACTAGGTTTTATTTATTAAGTTGTTTGTGTATTTTTTTTTACCCTTTATATCTTATTAAGCTCTTTTATTCTGTGCAGTATTGTGGCACTCTAATCAAAGATGTGTTTTAACTCACTTTGTTTATAAAAATCCAGATTTCATTTGCAAAATCATGCTAAACATGAAGTATAATTAGCCATTCAGGAGAATTCATGGGCGCTGTTCACCATTCATCTCTCACCATTCATGTTTGCTTTTGGCAGTACTCACACACACACACACACACAAACACACACACACTCACAGTGCCTGCGTCCGTATGTTTTTTTTTGTTTTTTTTTCTCCTCTTATGGATGTTTTGTAGAGAGCATGAAGGCTAATGCTGGCTACAGGGTACAGGTGCTCCCCCGACCAGATTCGGTGTTTCTTTTGTAATGTTGTGCTGCACCAACAAGAAGACCGACCCTCCAAATGTCATCGCCGTTCAATGAGCAGCACAGGTGGTGTATTGTTCTCCACGGGCTCGTCAGTTACACATGGGTGTGACTGGAGACAAGTCTGCCTAATATCCTCAAGATTTGGAAAATGACTTTAATTCTTTGCGTTTCAGGTATTTTATTAAATTAACACGGGGAACAATTTCATGAGTTTGCATTGTATCTAAATCCCCTCCAGGCGGTGTTAAAATTATGATGTTATTGCACTCTGCAGATGCGCAATCTTTGATTTATTATCTTAATAATATTCCAAAATGTCAAGCATGTTATGATGCAAATAAGTGGATGAGAAGGAAAAATCCAACAATTATTCATGGCATATATTTTTAAGATGGTAATTCATCAAAACAGCACATACTGCAGGTTTGTTATCCATGTGACAAAAGAGAAAAGAGACAAAGCGAGAAAAACTCTCCAAAAAGCCAAATTTATTTTTAATTTCTCACTTTTTTTTTTCTTTTCATTCAGTATCCCCACGCGAAAACAGGCCATTCACACCACATCCAATCAGCTAAATGACTGTGTCTTGTCTGACCAAACTGACCGGTTCCAGTCTGTTGTTCTTCCTGACAGGCCAGGTCATTAGCGTCCCCTCAAGTGTCCCCGTATGCTAGCAACATTAGCACAACTGAGAATGTTGTTTGCTGAGTGTGTTGGATCCCTTCAGTTTTCTCTGCACTTTCCCCCTGGGGACTAACTCGCACACTGGTTCACATGAATACTTTACAAAGAGCATGAATATTTCAGGGTTGATGTAAAAATGCATTCGGAGGCAGGTTTCTGATGTGACTCCTTGAAAGGCCTCCTCTGACTTTGCAGAGGTATTTATTGGGAGCGCTCTCTTCACCCCCTTCTGCTAAAAGAGAGCGATGGCGTTTGCAACACCCTGCCTTGGCTTTGTTCCCAGTTGTGTTTTAGAATTTAACAGATTTCGGGAGGAAATTTCCTTGATTTTTTTTCTCGCGCGTGCTGGCGAGTTTGTTTCAATAAGGCGAGAACACACTCCTGCTTTCTTGTCCGCTGAACCGCGTTAACATTGAAGCAGTAGAGATTCTGTCAGTGTGCATTTGCCGCTGTCCATCTTCACCTACTACAAGCAGTCGTTTGTAATGCATGTCAGGTGGTCGATTTATAGTTTGCACTGTGTTCAGGGAATGTGACATTGGAGCAACTTCTTTCTGTGTGCCTGCTGATACAGTGAGAAGCAGACCTGTTAACTCATCTAATGCAGCCTAATTCAGCCAATTCATTTACAAGGTCTTTGAAATAGTAATTTTATCTTCCGCTGGCTCCGGCGCGGAGTTTGGAGACTGTCTCGACTTGGCTGCGAGGCTGGGATTCAGATGTTGGATAGTGTCAAAGGAGGAGACACAGTGGAGCTGTCTTTACTGCTGGCATTTATGGCTGGGGGCTCATCTTTCAGCCATATTGTTCTGATCAGTGTGCTGTGGCTGAGGTGTGGCTGTGTGAAAGCAGCAGGGGGGCTTCAGAGGCTGTCCATGGCTGAGCTCTGCTCTAAACACCCCATGTAATCAAAGGTCATATTTGTGTCATCTGGCTCGCTCGCTCTGCCTCCCCTTCCTTTGCGTCTCCTCTGTCTCCCCCTGCTCGTGAGCCGTCCTCTCTCTCCTCCCCTCCATTTCTCGGCCTCCTTTTCTTTCCAGCAGGAAGACCCTTGTGTCTGGGAAGCGGTGGTCTTCCTGCCACCTCTGTTTTGGCCACCCTCCCCTGCCCCGGGCCATTGTTGCAGACCCCAGCTTTGTGTGTGTTTTACGGCTGCTGTTAAAGATAAAAAACAGTCCCTTCCACCCCCTTTATTGTTTTCTGGTAGGATGTCCCTGTCATTCCCTCGGTTTTTATGTCCTCACTGGATATCCGAGCAGCTCCCCCCTTCAAAGGTTAGCTATGCTGTCTGCCTTCTCCCATTTTTTCCCTCCAAAGGGGAATAAATAACTTTACTGAGACTTTTATTGAACGTCTCATTGCTGGAATATCCCATGGGTCTGTGGTTGTTAGGAAGACTCTTCAAAGACAAACACAGGTGTTTGGAGGAGTTAGCAAAGGGCTGGTTACAACCAGGGTCTTTAAAAGAACAAACCCCAGCGAGTGGGTGAGGGTTGTTTGTGGGAAGGGAGGCTTCTTCTTCTTCTTCTTCTTCTTGGCCTTGTAACTCTTGTGTTGTGAGCACTCACTGTTCGTCCCCAGCTTCCCTTTGGCTTAACCTACCTCCCCATCCTCGTTGACCCCGGACAAGAGCGGCGGCTGGAGTGTGTTGCGTGCTCAGCGTAATTATTTAGCAGAACAGCAACCAGCCACGACTGGAAGTCTGCGCCTGTCTTTCCTTTTTTAAAATTTGAATAAGTTAAGAGATTCGGTGGGAGAAACTCAAGAGCTGGGTGAAAAGGAAACTGATATCTTGAATAACACATCTTAAATATTACATTAAGAGGCTGTAACTCGGCGCTGTGACAGAACGTGGGTCCTAGGCCAAGTTGTATTTAGCTCAGGTCCTCTCTCTCTCTAAAACAGAGCAGGAACCTCGGTCTGCCGTCGTGCTCGTTTTGTGGACTGTTGTGAGATGACACGGTTCAGACCTGATGTCACTGGAGTTACCCTGAAGAGTGGAGGTGTCGCTTGGCATCGTACACCTGGCTGAAATAGCACCTCGCCGAACGCAGCCGCCATCTGTCACCAACCCCCGACACCCCCCCCCCAGTGGAAACCAAATCGACTCGCAAGGGCAGTAAACTGTTTATGAAAGGATAAGTCCCCTGCATGTATTCGAATACCTTTGACAACTTGAGTAAGACGCACTTGGCGTCTTTCAAGTGGGTTCAGGCATCAGTATCATTAAAACTCTGCCAAGCCTCAGACTATCCCTGAAGATTTCCTGTCACTAGTGGATCATCGTACAAGGTGTCCAATATCCACTCATCAAAAAATAAGTAACAGCATCTGGATTCCAGTACACCCAGGTAACTTAAGTGACAGCTCTTTTTCGTTGCATTTCTTTACTCATCAGCAAAACTGTCCGCAGAAAGTGAAGGCTCAGGCTTGGGTGTGAAAAAAAGAAAAAGAAAACAGGGGTCTGGCTCTGAGAGAGAACTCCAGCTAGTGAGTGTCCACGCTGCCTCGGAGACCGGGCTCTTCAAACAGACCGCCACCCACGCTACAGTACCCTGTGGCATGATGCCACAGAGCCCTCGCCTGGAGCACGGGGCGTGTACTCAGGACAAACACAAAGGAGACCCACGGGTGAGAGTGAGGGCCAGGGTAATACCTTCCTGTATCAGATTCCAGCGTATTGGATTTCAAAACCTCCTGGACTATTTTTACTCTCAACACGAGGAAGTGAGAAGTTGCATTAGGAATCCAACGAGGCTATGAAAGTCTTTTGTTCGCTTCTCATGACAGACGCACACCAAAGCTAAAAGTTAGTCTGAAGTGATACCGCTGAGATTGAAAAGACTGAAACATTCACCCAAAGTCAACTATTGCTGTTTTGTTTGTGATTCGAATCTCCCTCTTTTTTTTTTGCTTTCTCTTTTTCTTTTTGTCTCTCATCCACCCCCCCTCCTCGTTCTCCCTCCTTCTCCTGGTATCAGGCTGCTTCTCATCAGGCAGCCCCAGGCCCACCTAAGCGCACGGCCGTATTGCATGTGACAGCTGTTAGACATTATTAACGGCTCAAGCAGAAAATCCAGATTACTTGTTTTTTAATTTAAATTTTATGATTGTAATCGGTCAGTGAAAAGGACAAAAAGAGGGGCAGTTGCTCTATTGTTATCCGCAGATTTGTGGTCACTGACAATGCTGCGCCGCACATGGCTGCGTATAAGCGTGTTGGGTGATGTTTGGGTGGGCACGCGGGTTTGCACGAATGTGTGCGTGCGTGTTACAGGGATTTTTTTTTTTTTTCCAAACGCCCCCCCACTACAGCCCAGGCACCCTGTGGTTGACTATGAGGCCTAGACAGGTGCATTGTTAACCCTCTAACGTCTGAGTCTGTCTGTGCTGACTCTGCCGACGGTGCTCCTGGCAACATGTCATGCTAGTGGCACATCATGCAAAAGAAGTGCCACCTTTTTGTACAGCCTTGGGATGCTTTGCTCTGCTAAGATACTTTTAGGAAAGCGCACGTTTTCATCTCTCAGATTCAGGCTGCGTGCACGCAGGATGCCCATTGGTTTATTCAGAATTCTGCGCAGCACAGGCTGAAATTTGAGGCGCACCACCAATGCATGATTCCTTTTGAAAGGGAAACAATTATACCACTCTGTAGCTGTTCCTCTTCCATGCATCCTTTCAGTTCCTGTTTTGTTTTAGTATTATATTTTCTGTATTTTGAAGTTCCCCATTCCAAATAGCAGACCAGGATCTGTAAGTATAGGGGCATGTTGCAGTTAGAGAGGCAGGGCTGAGAGCAGAAACACTCAAATAATGGGCCAAGACTCAGTGACTCTGAATGCAGAAGCAGGCATGTATGACACTGTGCCAAACAATAAGGTGCTCAGCTGAATATATGCAAAGAATTGCCATTAAATATACATGCAGCATGCCTCTCAAGGATGTGTCAGCCTTTTTTTGTGAGAAAACAAAGATTAGCATCAGGAATTCCATTTTAATAAGTCTCTTGGGAGCATCCAAACAGCTGCCTAGTCCTCAATCCAAAGGGGACTTGTTGCTCTCTCTCTCTCTCTCTCTAGCACATGCAGTTCCCCCTCTCCCACTTTCATTCATGGACCTCCCATGCTTCCTCTGACATTGATTAAAACAAAATTCCTGCACTCATCCTCCCCAAATGGCTTGTTTTATTCTGCACGTTGTCTATTTCTGTTCTCATTTTGATACCCTTTCTATCTTACATCCACCTTTGGGTGTAATGGTGCAAAGTGACTTTAATTCAGCATAGTTTGGGGTTAGAGAATCATTGACCGAGCTGTCAGTTGATATGGACTGGCGGTCGGGTCAGCTGATGTACCCCGGGCTGAGCTTGACTTTGTGGCCTGTCTAAAAACGAACACTATGCTCAATTAGGAAGAAAAAAAAAAACACAGGATCCAATATTAACACCCGTTGAGAGCCAAATGCGGAAAGATTTTCTGTTCCAAGTTTATTTGCTACATTTTGGGTAAATATTTGTATCAAAATAGTGGAATAATCTCACCGGATTTGTGTCTCACTTTGGTGTTGCTGCAGCTTCTTTTTTCTGCTTCTCTGCTGTCTGCACGCCAGAGCCGTGCAGGGACGGGCTACAACACACAAACACATGCATTCAAAAACACACAGTTAGCCACATGCCAAAGTTTACCACACTGAAGTCTTTATGACAAGGCTGTAAACGAAAGGGCCGTCCAGTCCTGTTGAACCTGCAAGAGCCCCTATACATTCCTTTCCTGAGAGATAGCGCAGCCTTTGCGCAGTTAAGAGGTTCACTCTTTGCCTGTAACGTACAAAACCTGATCACATGTAAAAGGAATTAAAACTTTGCTCAACTAGAGCCAAAAGTGCGATATGGAAGAGTTCAGTACAAATAACATCTACCCCTACCCCTCTACTGTCCCCCATGTGTCTTCTCCTGCCCTTCACCTCATTCTGCTGTTTTTTTGGTCCCTTCTTCCTGTTGTGACCACTAGGCTACACTGCATCCTCTCTCTCTCTCGTACAGTATGTGTCCTGAGGATCTGGGGCAAATGACTGGCTCCTCAGCAACAGATGTGTGTTTGTCTGCTGGTGCTGCATGCATTAGCTTTCTCTGCTTGCCATGCACGGCCACTGACCTACCCTCTGGTGAGAGCGGGAGGGGAGGGGGGGATCGAGAAAGTTTGTGTGTGCGCACGAGAAAGGGACAGACAGACGGAGAGAGAGGGAGAGAAAAAGAGAGAGGAGAGCGACAGCAAGAGTAGATGCACACTGTCACATGCTGTCATACACTTACTGGTGCATTGCAAGCATGTGCACACAAAGGCACACTCGCACATGTGCGCACTGGCGTGCACACCCGCACGTCCTACACACTCACACATCTCGCTTCCCAGGAGGCCATGAGGCCAGTGGGACAGAGCGAGCTTGAGAGTCTGGTTCGTCTGTTTACATCTAATTATAGAAACAGGACTATTTCTGCAACCACTGCTCCGGCTTTTTTATACTCTTACAAGAGGGGGGGAGGGAGGGAGGGAGGGGAGGGGAGTGAGAGCGAGCAGAAAAACAAAGCTTTGACAGCCTTTTCTCACAATGGTGAACGGTTATCTCATCCCCTCAGCGCTGCTACAGTCTGCAGGCTCTCGGTACAGTACAACAGGAGACAGAAGGGGAGGGGGAAGTGTCGTATAGTAAGCCCTCTCATCCTCATCTAACATGAATGTGCAAATTTACGAGAACTGAGCAAAGGCAAACACGGCCATGTATTTCCCCCCATTAGCCCCGCTAATACATTCAGTTGACATTCGCCCCGATAAAGAGAGAATAATTTTTTCACCCCCCGCCCCGTGGGCTCTCTCTCTGACCCCGCAGAAGAGGCTGTCCATCACGGCAGTCAAAACAAAAGGAAGGAAAAGTTCATAGTGAGGATTAGTCTTGTGTAAAATGTATCCAGTAGTAAAGAGGCACGGCCAGTGCAGTAGTTAATCCTCGGGCTCGGTGGCTGATATCCAGCTGAGTGGCTGTTGTTAGCCAGGGGGGCCTGGAGGGGAGAAGCTGTCAGGGAGACGCTGTGCTGCCTGTTGGCTCGCCTGGGGTTGCCAGGTGAGAGCCAGATCAGGGGCGGGGTCGGGCCTGTGGGTCCGAGCCGGATAGGTTGCAGCCTCTTGCAGGTGCTTTCATAAAAAAGCCCCCTAGGCGGATTGCACAGACCGCTGGATGCAACCTGAGCCAGGTGCTCCCCATCCCCCCCGACCAAATACATAAACCACTACATAATGGAAATGTGTGCTTGAATTCACCCCACCGCCACCACCCACGCCACCGCTTTTATTCTGAGACATGGCAGGTAAATTAATTGGCTGTGAGTATGTAACTTATATGCCGAGATAAAGGTGCGCTGTCTGGCCAAGGCGTAGCGTAACGGCCGTAATGATGGCTCCATTGTGTTGATGTTGAGGGGGGTAGTTAGCGGCACAGCCAGCGGGGCCTTTGCTGGAGGGCTGGATAGTCTCTGATTAATAGTGGGGAATGCTTTGAAGTGACACCCAAGTGCACCGACTCATAGGCTAATAGCAAAACCATCAGTATAGGGAGTGCTCCCTCTTCCTCAGTCTTCATTAGCTAACGTTTCCCCCTGCACTACCTCGCCACCCTCTCCTCACACGCCTGCCTCATCTACAGAGACTCGCCAGGAGCTCCTGTTTTTTTTTTTCCTTTTTCACAATTGTTTCATGATTTTGCCGTCATTTCTCTCTGTCACAACCTGTAAAAGAAAAGATTTTTTTTTTCCACCACAGAGGCACGGCTCAGAGCGGAGGCCTTTGCTTCCCAGAGCTCAGCCGCATAGGTGAACCGTGGCACAGCCTAAGGACTCACGGGATCGATGCTGCACAAGTGGGACACGGCTCGGGACTATTCCCAGGATCCATTTTGATCTCCCAGACTGACAGACGAGCTGCAGCTGCGGGTGTGTCTGCGCGAGTGTCAATGCGTGTGTGTGTTTAAGGGGATCGAGGCAGGGAGGCAGGGTTGGGTCTGTCAGCTGTTGGAGCAAAGTAAACTATTAGCGGTGGGAGAAGGCAGTGTTTCCAGTGAAGAATTAGACCCACTTCTAATTGCAGTGAGGTTGGGCTATGATTACATGCTGGCTAATGCACTGACAGACCTCTCACTTGGCTGGCTCTCAGAACGCTGCTGAAATGGCTGAATGCCTTTTGGTTATACAGCATAATGGGAGGGTGTGTGGACGCACGTGTGAGTATGTGTGTTTGCTACGTGTGGGTGGCTGCTTGTGTGTATCTTGTGATTAATCCTGCTTTTCAGAGCGGGTTTTTTGGCATGATTTTTTTTTTCGTGAGTTTTGCCTTTCGCTTCGTTTTCCGTGTGATGGCTGTTCTCCGCTCGTTTCTTGAGTGCCTGTTGTTGTTTGTAGTGGAAGCAACTTTTCTGTCCAAATCAAAACTCAGCTGGTGTAACTCTCTCTGAGCAGTATGTAAGAAGTGTGTTTTTGAGTTTTTTTGTGTGTGTCGAGTGTGTGTGTGTGTGCGTATGCCCACGGGAAAGAGCAATCAAAGGAGCTGTGTGGTGGAGAGATTGTATAAAAGGAGTGAGAGAGGAAACAGAGTGGCAGGCAGCTGAGAGGGCAGCATGTGGGGGTGGACGGGGGGCTGATGCAGGTGCCTAATTCTACCTCAGCCCTGGGCGTTTTATATTCCATCCATCGCTTTCTTTTCTGCACTTCGTGGTATGTTGTAAATCCACCTGCTTCAATTAAAGCGCTGATCAGCCAATATATCTGCGATAGTTATCACAATAATAACACACACAGATGGATTTACGCTGCATTGCACTGTAAGTCTGTTACATAAATAATCGGCGAAGAATTTTAAGGAGCTGTGTTCATTTTTCACCTCATAATTTTAATTACTTTTTTTTTCTTTCTTTTTTTGAAGAACAGCTTGTTCTCAGGTGTGCAGGCGGCCACGTTTTCAAGAATCTGTGGTTTACAGTTTTGCCAGACAGTGTTGTAAATCACATCCCATTCCTGGCATATGGGATGACAGTTATGGGAGTGTATCTGCTGTTTCTCCATCAGGACCTCAGGCTTGTCTTATCTCTTGTTTAACTAGATAGAAGGACGGTGTTGTCATTGTGGTTTCTCTAAGGGTCAGGAGGTCAAGGATCTTTCAGCACAGTTACAGGAGACCTTTTCATATTGAGAGTCCACATCTGTGCAGAACCCAATCCTCAATCCAGCAACAATACAACAATGGTGACCCCATGTTTACACTAGGGCTGGGCGATATGGCCTCAAATCAAAATATATATATAAATACAAATAAATATATATATTGAACATTTCACCTCGATAACAATAAATGGACTGAATCACTAGAATCAGTTCATTAAAAAGATTCATTCAAAAGATTCGTTCACTGAATCATTCAGCGCGTGGTGGGAGGAGCCTGCGACTCTGACTTTCTGATCTGATACACAGCGGAATGGTTCAGGATTCAGCTCAGATCATATTCTCCCTCCGTCACTCCTTTCAAGAGTTTGCTACAGCTGGTGAGTCTCGCTCGCTTCTCATTACTTCCAGCGAAACGTTTTAAGATTTTTAACTGGGAACTAAATCTGTTAAAACAACAGGGAACAACGGTCGCCGTGAAAGTGTATCCCTCAGACGAAAATGATTCCAGAGAGTGTAGTTCACTGCGTGATTAGTTCACCAAGTGATTCAGGCTCGGTTCAGCAGGTTCACTTAAAAGATTCGGTTCTTTTGAATGAATAATTCGCGAATGACACAACACGAGGTCACCCCCTCCCACATTAACTTCATCTACTTCAGCCGCCCTTTCAACTTTTGAACTGTCCTCCATCTTCTCACCTGTCTTTCCCTCTTTGTTATGGACTGGATGTGGTGGAATCACGTCTCTAACGTAGGACAGCGTCTTAAAGGGACATGACACATAACCTACCTACATAGATCTAAAGCCAATTTTTATTTATTCATTTATTTGACAGTGAATATATTGACATGGGCAAAATGACATTGGTGTCGTAAATTTCGGTACCGGTAAATTTTATCGCCCAGCCCTAGTTTAGATGCACATATATTTCAAGCCCCGTTATAGCTAGATTAGGACTTCTTTCCTTGTCCAAGTATACAAGCACCAGGCAAAAATTCATGCATCTATAAAAATATGTCGCTTTTCATCCAGTCACTATCAGACCTATTGTGTCGAATACCAAAACAATCGACATACAAGCAGAAAAAACGACTGATGGTTTAAGCTGGACCAACATGTTAATATGAATTTTAAAAGTCAGATTTTTGTCGGACAGATGCGATAAATCAACTCTTTTAATATCATGATAATTAGGGTGACCATATTCTGAATCTCCTGAAAGGGGACACGACTACGCTGGGGCAGAGTCCCAGAGTCCCAGAGTTGGGTGTAGTTGATTTTGACAGTTTTTAAGGCATTTTTTTTACATGCTTCTAACTCAGTAAGTCCATGCGACAAAAACTCTAAACTTCCATTCAAAACCCCAGGATTTTATAAACTCCCCCAGACAAGGCCGGACAGCCGGACAGACGTATGGTCACCCTATGATAATGCAGTGAGTGATCCCTCCAGTGCTTGTACAGTCAGGGGATTACTTGATCCCACCATAGCTCCTCTGTGTTATCCATATATTCATTAAAAGGAATAAAATATTTGCAGACAATACATGGTATGGCTCTGTTCTGGGAGCGCCCTGCCCCTCCACATACGTTCCCACATGCCAAAGCCTACAGCTGGGAGAGCAGAAGCAAAGACATCCCCGGTACAGAGCGGATACTTCTTTTCAGATGTCAACCAGATCTCTGAGAATATGTCGAGCTGGAGTTTCACCGTGTGCATCCCTGCTGATGACTCCCAGGGTGAGTGACGGGTCATGGGAGGCCGGTTTCGTCTTAGACTTCAGGGTCAGTGGTAGACCTCCAAGAGACAGCTGCTGAGGAATCATAAATGGATTTTTGGATATGCACATGTGCAGTTGTGGGTGGGTTAAGCAGGACATGTGCTGAATTTATTTTAGCGATGAGGACAATCTGTACTTCCCTGGCTAGACCGGTGACAGACTGGGGAGGAATGTGGAGAGAAGTGGTCATCCTTCGTAATAGCACACTGCTAGGCCAGAGTCATCTGCATGCTCGGAAACTGGATGGATCAATACCACTGGTATGGCGGAGGTGGACTAAACTATGCAGCTGTGTGGGCAGAAGAAGATGATTGGGCTTGCTGGGACATGTAACAGAGCTGCATGTGTCTCATGTATGGAGACTTTTTTTGGTGTGTGTATGTAAATGTGTGTATCCCCATCTGACAGATCTTCTTACAGAAAGTGAGGCTGCTTTGAGGATCGATACCGACACACTGTCTGCACCAGTACACACACAAACACACGTACACACACGGCGTACACACCCTTTTACGCTCTTCTGTCTCATCTGTCAGTTGACAGAGTTTTCTCCAGCTCTGTGGGTTCTCTTTCCAGCCAAGCAGATGGTGAACACTCAGAATGAAAGCAGATCCTAAGTCCTTTTGGATCTCCATCAATCCGACAGTCTCTGGGACCGTCCTGCGAGGGGGCTCAAGTTTCTCAGCTCTGACTGGCTCCTCAACCGGGGAGGGGGGGGGGGGGGGTGTAGTTGCTACCTCCTTGTCCGTCACTTTTTTTAATCTCACGTTCACATGCACAAACGCCGCAGCTGAGAAGGAGCTGCTGACAGTTGCTCACACTGCTCGCTCCTTATGCTCCCCTCGCAACTCAGCTGCTAGCTCCAAACCCAGCAGGGTGCCACATCCTCTCCCATTGTTTGGTACAGTACTGAGAGCTCTTTCCCTTTGACTTTCCTCCTTTGCGTACCTGGAGTGGCAGCTGTGCCCTAAAGCCCCTCCCTCCCCGAACCCCACCACCCCGCGTGATTTTATGTGACAGAACGAGCGGGATTTATTTCAGCACGCGTGTTTGGATCTTTTAACAGGGCTGGTTTGAAGGCGTGTCTCTTTGAAGCCTTCACCACTCTTAACTGTAAGTGATTTTACGAGACGTGTTTCTGTGCCAGTCAGCCAGACCACCGCGCCACAACCAGATCGGCGGAGAGAGAGAGAGAAGGACAGGGATGCCATTCCAGCAGAAACCATCTGGGAGAAAGTGTGTGTTCTTGCGTATGCGATTCTGCACATATGTTTGTGTAGGTGTGTGTTTGCACGCATGTAAAGGGAGAGAGTTGGTTAGCGCTGGCTGTGAGAGGAGGGGGAAAAAAAAAAAAAAGTTTGGCTCCTTGAGGGAGGCCTCTACTGCCCCTGCCTGCGTCTCCTGATTTATGAGCTTGTGAAGGAAATCTCTCATTTGTCACATTTCATCTCTTTTCTCCACATCATCCTTTTTTCCCTCTCACTCTCACTCTCTCTCATGGAATTCAGCTTTTCCTTAAATCTTCCACTATTTCCAGAGAATAGAGAGGAAGAGAGGATTCGAGAAGAGGGGAAAAAAACAAAAAAAGGAGCTCTTTTCTGTCTGTAGTTAGTTATAACCATAGCAAACAAAAGCCTTGTCTAAGTGGATATGTTTTAGTAAATATTCATAGGTGTTGACATGCTTGTGTAATGTATTTTGTTTGTGGTAAGGATGCGTGTCATTAGGCAGTGTGTATACTTTCTGCCTGTGAATAATTCAAAGCACTTGTTATGGTGCTGTTTCTGCTGCACAGTGGTTTGAACATTATTGTTAGGGGAAAATAAAACATCAGTTCTGAATATTCTCCGCGCGATGTGTGCGTTTGTGTGTGTGTGTGTGTGCGTCTTTTACAGCTCCGTTTTCACCGAGCTGTTCGGTTCAGTCCAGCTCGGCACACGATTATTTCCGTTTCTATTGTCAAAAATTTAAAGAAGGCACCAAAATACCCAATCTGAGCTGTCCTACTTTTTTGGAATCCTGTGTACCTATCCGACCTTAAAGGGTGGAGTTAGAAGAAAAAGAAGAAATATGCCTTTAATTTGATGTTATTTAAAGCTACCATGAGAGGATTTTGGTCTGTGTTGATTTTGTCTCCCCCTGTAAAGGAAGCTTTACCTCTTATCTCTTGTCCTCGTAAAGTAAAAGTTGTATTTCAGACAAAGAATTAAAATGACAATGGAGAAAATGATCCGACTTCTTGCTTTGAAGGTCAAAAAGAGGCATCCGTATCAGTTACAATATTTTCCTTAACTAGTTAAAGCTCCTATAGGGAATTTCCCGCTGGATCTAAAACAGTCAAGAATCATAACAAACAAGACTAGGGTGACTATAAGTCCTCTTTAACCCGGAAATGTCCTCTTTTTGGGGGGCTGGAAGTTTTGAGTTTGAGTTGCGTGGACCTACTAAGTTAGAAGCACGGAAAAAAAACCTGACGCGGCCCGAAAAACTCTCAAAATTAACTATGTGTGACTCTGTGACTCCGCTCCCATGTAGTCATGTCCTATTTTTGGGGATTCAGGATATGGTCACCCTAAAAAAGACTATTTCTGATGTCTAAAAACAGTGGTCAGGGGTAGCGCCGGGCTAACTGTCTAACTGTGTGTGGCTTTGTGACTTTTTAACCTTTTCAAGTAAAGATTCCTGTGTCAGAAGACAGCAGAATGACTTTTTAATACATTTAAGACGAACACGATCAATGACAACTGTTTACTTCAATCACTCAATAACGGCCCTTCAAAATAAAAGCACTGTGTCAAAGCAAGGGCAGTCTCGAAAACAGACACAGGCTTTGTTTTGAGAAGCATTTCAGATGGCCTTTCATGCTATATTTTTCATGCTTGTGACATAAATATAGTTTACACAGCCAATACAGCCTTAACCTCAACATTTTTCTGTCTATTTTGGCACTGAATCTGCATGTGGCCTTCAAAAAAAGCCCTCTGTACAGGGTCTGGATTAACTGCGCTGAAACAAACAAGGCGAATTGATAGAAATGCATCATATGAGAGTGTGTAGAGCATTTGTGGCCTCAGGGATATTTGTGCGCACACAAGTTTGCTGCTAATGTCTGCTAGCCAGTGCATCACCACACCGGGGTCACAGTCAGGTCATCTGCAGACTGGAGCCTTAGCATGTATGAGTGTGTGTACGTGTGAAAACGTCAATGTGCGCTCATCAAGGGTTTATGTGCCTGTGCGTGCACCATACTCACTCAGGTGCTACCTATAAATCCACCTCACCCTTTCCTGGCCCGCTGAGGACACAGCGGGAGTGGTGAGGAGCGGCGGTAGTGGTGGTGGAGGTGTTGTGGGGGGCTTCACTCTTTTTCTAAGCGGGGGAGGAGAGAGGAAAGGGAGGGAGAGGGTAAAGGGTTAGAGGGGAAGGGAGATAAATGAGGGAGGGGGCTTAATGAGAGCCCTGGCTCACATGATTATGGGACTAGCTGATAGAAATCAGGATCTTTCTCAAAGAAGTCAATTAACCCCCTCCCCCTTCCCTAATTATGCATGGATTGCTCCACTGGCTCTTTACTGATAGGGTTGCACAGTTCAGCTCAATGTGCGGAGTCATGCTGCCTGAGTCTACACGGGTTTCTGTGTACTGTGAGAAGCATTTGTCAATTTTTCTCCTCCAGAATCTGTTTTCTGCTTGCTTTAAACTGTGTCTTTAAAGCCATTAGTTACCCGCTGCACCCCCTCCCCCATCTTTCTTCTCGCATGACAGGCTGTGAGCCAGTACCAGGCAGATCCGGGAGGGGGCTCCACCCCAGGAGGCCTCTGGTCATTAGTGCATTAGAGGCTCGCTGATGGCTGAACTCTGTGGTCAGAGTAAATAAGCAATGTAGTAGAATGTCAACATGACCAGGCGGCTCCTTCACAGCACCCAGTGTTGACATAACTGCTCTCTTATCTGAGAAGTGCAAAGCCCAGCCCCACAATAGAACACTGTGCCAGAACAAATACAGTATGGAGATAGAAACCACACACACACACGCACACACACACACTATGTGAGGGAATGTGTCGCATGGCTCTACAAGTCAAAGCTGCTACTGTCGCCGTCAATATGGCACAAAACAATGCATGACTGCAGCTTTTGCTCCTAGTGTGGGCTGCTCCTGCTTTCGGACAGCTTGATGTTCATGTGAGCTCTTGAAAATAATTCAGCGTTAAGGATCGTAGGAATTTCAGAGGCTGTTTACATGGAAACGTATCCAATAGTAAATGTGAAACCAAAGTTGTCTTTTGGGCTGTTGCATACTTCAGCATTTTTTGCAGAACTGCATGCACACAGAATATTTTCCTTACACTCTAATATGAATGCAGATTTATTTCTCTAGCTGTTGCATTTTCGTCCTTACAAAGCCAAAGACTTTGTACTCCACGGGGTTAAAGACTTCATACGAGCTTGACCGTCAGGAGATGAGCTGTGCCATCAGACTTAAGTGAATTTGGCTTTTAACTAATGTTTTATTCTTATCTTTATTTTTATCTTAGATTATTTTATTATTAATCATATATTTTAGTCATTTACATGTTATGTTTATTTTATTTATTTACATAGTTTTAAATTATATTTTAGCTATTTATTAGTATTTTTTAATTTTAGTTTGTTTTATGATCTTAACCAATGTATTTTATGTTTTGAAAATAAATCTTGAGAATAATTAGCGTTAGGGATCGAAGGCTGTTTACATGGAAAGTAACCAATAGTTACGGCAGAGCCAGACCAAGAAAATAAAAACAGAGAGGCTCAGTATCACGTAATTACGTGAAAGTTTATTGTTATAACAATATATTTTCATGTTATAACGTGAAATTATCATGTTATTTCATTATATGTTTTTTTTTCACGTTATAACATGAAAGTATCATGTTATTTCGTTAAACGACTTTTTCACGTTATAACATGAAAACTTCATATCATGAAATAACGTGATATTTTTACGTTATAACGTGAAACGATATTGTTCTAACAATAAACTTTTCATGTAATTACGTGATAATGAGCCCCCATTTTTTTTCTCTCGATGTGGCAGCACCACGCTTCCGTATGTGAAACCAAAGTTGTCTTTTAGGCTGTTGCATACTTCAGCATTTTCTGTCATTTTTTGCAGAACTGCATGCACTGAATATTTTCCTTACACTCTAATTTGAATGCAGATTTATTTCTTTAGCTGATGCGTTTTCGTCCTTACAAAGACTCTGTACTCCACGTGGTTAAAGACTTCATACTAGTCAGAGGATGAGCTCTGCCATCAGGCTTAAGTGAATGAGCAGTTTGTGGAAGATGCAGCTGTAACTATCACTCTGAAAGTGTGTGTGTCAAAGAGGAGGGAAAGGAAAAAGGGGAGAGAGGTCACAGAAGGAAATAAAGATGGCGGCTGTTTGCTTTTCAGCCCTTCTTGTTTAAGTACCTGTGTCACATTTGCTTTTTTTCTGTGTCAAAACATTTCAGTAAGCCCTCTTCCCCTCACTGCCTCGCATCACCCTAATAACTCTTCTTTATTCTCCTTCCCTGTCTCTCCCTGCCTCTCCCCCCCTCCTCTCCATTATGGCCTCTGCCAGGTCTAGACTGAGCTTGGCTCGCACTGACGTTGTGATAACCCGCTGAAAGCTGTTGCCCTCTCTGCGCTACCTCTCGTGCTCTCTTCTTTTTAGCTCCATGACTTGCTGTCTTCCTTCCCCAAATATCTGTCTGGTCAGGGCCAGTCTGGAGGCTTTCTGGCCCTACACGTAGATGCTGACATGTTTTATGGCCGGCAGAGCTAAGCGTATATTAAAGAAAATAAGAAAAGCCAACATGTGCACTCACAGGCGCACTGTTCAAAGCTGCTTTAATGGTTACTCTGGGATGTAGAGCTTTTATTTGAGGCCCACAACACTGCCAGTAGTTCTATTGAGCATGGCCGGTTGGAAAATATACGATTTTAATTTCCAGTCCACTAACATGTGTATGTGAGTGCAGTTTGGTGAGCATTCTCAGCGAGCGTGTATCGGGGTGAGATCCTGGATGTGTAATGGCGGACAAAATGAACAGCTGCAACGCATCTGTTGACTCCGATCAGATGCTGGAGGCCTCTGGTAACCCCAGAAGGTGTCCCTCCTTCTGTGCTGTGCATCAACCTGCAGACAAACAGAGTGAGAGGGACTAATGGTGTGTTTCATTTGATCTCAGAAGTCGGAAATTCTGGGATGCACCTCAGATACGTCATCGGCCCCCTGAAACTTGGAGGGACTTCAGTAACCTTAGGCCGGAGCTTCAAGATAGATGCACCTCGAAGGGAAACTTCAGTATTTTCAACCTGGGTCTTATTTTCCCATGTGTTTGCCTGTGCTTGACTGACGGGGAGAATGATTTCTGAAATTGGTCCAGAATTGAGGGAGCAGCCAGCCGCTGCAAAACAAGCTAAAATGCATCGTCAAGCTGCGTCCACGACATTACAGCTTGATTTCTTGTGATTTTTTCTCGTAACAAAGACTTTTTTTAATGGAAAAATATTTTTAACATGGCTCTAATACTGTAACTTAATTAGCAAATTAACCTTGTTTCATCGAAGTCCTATCTGTGGATATGAAGCAAAGACTGTATGTACTATGGACAACTAGGTTCCGCCCTCTGTCAATGAATTTGAAGACGAATTGCGCTAGAAATTTCTGGGATTTTCTCCACTTAGCGGAGGAGCGTTGTACGCATTCGACGGGAGAGTCGCTGAGAGTCGCTGTGATGACGCTCGGCTCAAACAGCGTCATTCGTAGAAAACATGAACCTCCTAATAACTTAAAAATGGAGCTGAACAGAAAAAAAGAGGACTGGAGCACAACAAACCAGTCTTACAATAACATGTCAACATCGCGACCAAGGGGGAAAAAAATTTATATTTTTAGTAATTAATTTCTAATGTTTTATGACCTATACTGCAGCCCGTCACTAGAGGGTGCTGTTCTTCGCGGTGGCTTCACCCAGCTAGGAGGCAGATGGCGTCCATTCTGCATACAGTAGTCTATGATACGAAGTCGTGCAAACTACCATGTCCTGTGTGTCATTGTCTCGCATTAACTCTCGGCGTGTGAGGATGTGACGTCATTTCCAGCTTCCAAAGAGCAAGCAGAGCGCGCCATAAAACCCGACCGTCCTTCCTGTCCACCTGCGATCACCGCAGATGTGATATATAACACCAACGTTAGCCGTGGAGCCAACCAACCAGACAGACAAGCCATGAGCAGTTGATCAAGATGAGGTCCCTCCTCTCCGTCTCCCCGCTTTCACCTTGGGTTGTACCTTTTTTCCGCTCCTTGCTGTTAAGGCTTACATCAAGCTAACCAGCTGGAGAGGAAAAAAAAGAGGCTTTTTTATGGCGGCCCTGCTCTGTGTTGGAGAGAGGATGACCTTCTCTCCTCTGTACAGATTGCAGGAAATGCTCCTAATTTTACTCATCTCTGCTCAAGTGTGTTGCTGCAGATGTTGAGCAGGCCCCGGCAGCGGCATTCCACGGATGACCAGTGTCAGCGATCGGGAGACATAACTCAACTTTAAAGCCTTGTTTGTCAGATGTATTTCATCGAAGTATTTGCTGTGAGATTTGGCTGACCTTGTAGACATTTGAAAACGCAGCCGGCTACAAAAGGGGAGGAAGTGTTTATCTGTATGCGCCAAGTTGAATATTGTCCTCATGGCTAGAAAGCTTTGCAACAACAGAAGTCAAGGAGCTGCACGCGTCTTATACAGTGTGTTCTTTTCAAGGTAATGCGGTGTATCACTTGGCCTTGGCCACAGGTGCCTTCCTTCTTCTTGTCTGTAGGTTATCAGAACAAAAATGCTTACATTTGTCTTGCACAACGCTACAAGAATTAAACATTTCTCCTTTGTTCCCCTTGTGAACCGGCGGCAAATTATATTCAGGGCTGCAGAGAGACCTTGGGCTGGCTGGCGCGGCGGCTCTCGGCTCCGTTATCTGCGCTGCTCTGTCTCTGAGCCTCTGACAGGCTACATCAGACGGAGAGAAGCCAGAGCAGGGAGCTGCCTTCTGTTTCTCTCACACACATCACTCCCAGACTTTATCATATTACAGGCCAATCCAAGAGAGCTCAGAGAACAGCAGCAGAGCTGTCTCTTCATCCAGCACTGCCCTCCGACCTAGAGGAGGCGCCGGCCACAGCTGGAGGAGGGAGGGCAAGGGTAAGGGAGGATGTAAAGGACAGGACATGCTAAGGAGTCCGAGTGAAAAGTTAACATTGGGATGTTAATTTATGGGTGATTTTGTCAAAGGGAGGGGTGAACCTGCGACTCCCCCATAAAACAAGACGTTCATTACCCCGCCAGACCTCAAGAAAACTGATGGGCCAACAAGAGCAGAGAAGAAGAGTGTAAGTGGGACGAGAGGGTGGGAGTGAAAGCGGTTTTTAAAAACCCGAAAAATGAAGAGAAAGCGTTTCCATTTTGAGGCACGCAGATGAGCGCGACTGAGGGAAGAGAGCGCGGCGATGAGGGAGGACAGAAATATGGAGCTGAGCAGCAGGGGGAAGGAGGCAGAGTGATGGAGGAATGATGGAGAGGGTGTGAGGACGGAAAGGGAAAACTGAGGAGGGGAATGAGTGATGGGGCTCGAAGGAGCAAAGGGAGAACAGGGGATGAAAGTGAAAAAGGGAAGACAGCAGGCAAAATCCGCTCCATGAATCGAGCTGCTTGCAGATTTATGTGGTGTTTTGGGTATCATTATACATCAACCAGAGGAGATGGAGAGACTGGAGCTATGTGATGCCTATGGGGTTGTGTGTGTGTTTATCTGTGTACCACACTTTCATTCTCCCTCCTCACGCTGCTCATGTCTCCTCCAAAGCAAACTGACTGCTGAATTCGACAGAACACACTTGCCTGTGGTGAGGTAACATCCGCCCACATCCACACTCCACTTTCCGAAAGCTTATCTATCTAGCAGTGCTGGTTGAGAAGAGAAGAGAGGTTTAGACCACCCAGGACCGGGTAGTCAAAGAGGTGCTTTGATGTGGCGCAAGCATATGTGCAGTGCATGGGTACCATCTCTGCTAAAACACACTCGCAAAATAGAGTTTTACAGCCTCCTGTGCGGCATCATTACTTCTCGTCACTGAAGCGCTGGGATGTTCAAAAAGAGAGCGAGAGAGAGAGAGAGAGGCAACCACCTCCTGTGCCAGGCAGTGCCATGCTGAAGCACTGGAGCCGTATGGTCACCCTGAGGGAGGGGAAACCTGCCCAGTCTAACCACATCTCAATTAACCAATTAAGTTCAAAAGTTAACAGGGGACTAATTAGAGAGAATAGTGCTGAGCGCTTGTTTTAATCTGCCTTTTTCCCTCTACCAGGCACGTTTGAGTCCACGACCTGACTGGCTGAGCTCAGGCTGCATCAACTGAAACATGGCACGCAAGCCGCCCTTAGTCACCAATCTATCCTTCGGCTAAAAAAACAAAAAAAAAAACCCTGAAACATAAAAACAGCGGATTTAGACGGATCAGTCATCAGCAGTAAAGCAAACCAGATCCAGACTATTCTGTCTGCTGAGTCCAGTGGAAAAGAGGAGCCATGAAATTCTGTATCTGAGAGAGAATCAGCGAGTCTGCATGATGTTCAAAAGAAAATGATTTAGTCAGTGGGTTTACTCGCCAGTTGAGTCAAGCTTTGGTTAAAGCTCGATTGGGTGATTTAACTTGAGAACTGTTCTTGTCCAAGTTTTTGAGAGGAGGCTGAGAATCAAATTATTAACAGAAGCATGCGGCCCACTTGGTACCACCGGGTCATCTCCTGGACTTTGTTGACCTCTTATATACCAAAACAATCGATGGAACATGTTGGCAAGTGGCTAACGGTGGTACTATATGACAGTTTCGCCTTTTTTTTAAAAACTTCCTGTCTTATTGTGTCAAGGTTTTGTTCACTACTTGGCCTCCTAGCAACAGATTTATGCTTGTCAACTTCTGGGCACAAACATGGCGTCCAAACTCTTACGCATGTGCAGAACGCTTAGGCCAGTTTCAGTCCTACAGAAGAGTAAACATGAGAGAGAAAATTGACCAGCTATGATAGTCCAGCTATGAGGAGTTAGACTTGGCAGTTCAACTACAACTTGTCCAACCGAAGTAGTCGAGGATGGATTTCCTCTTGCATGTTTACACTTCAACTGGACCCAAACTGACCTCGGCATCCCGCATTTACTCCATATATTGCATGCTTAGCTTTACCTCGAAGCCAAATGGCATCAAAGAGTTGAAAGAAGCAGATCAGTGACTACAACTCGTCCAGGAAAAGAAGAAGAGGAGACTTAAGCAAGACCATGCTACCAGACAAGGTACAAGGCTGTTTGACATGTAGCCAATTAGCGTAAGGTGACCAGACGTCCCAGATTTCCGGGGATGGATGAACTGTCCCTGACTAAAGCTGTCCGTGAAAATGTCCCAGATTTAAGCATTATATGAATGAGAAAAAAATGTTGCGTGTAGACTAGAACGATGGTTATTATGGTAGCCGAGTAGGTAGGAAGCACGAGGAAGCATGTTGCGCACAGTCCTAAACAACAGTTTTTACGAGGGGTTATTCCTGCTACTAAGTACTAGTACCGAGTTGTTGTCTATGATCACGCAGCCGATGCCCCCCACCCTCCCTGGTCGAGAAACAGAGGGCCTAAAATCACATTTTGCTTAGCACCCCCCACCCCCTGAATGGATGTCATTACAGAAATGTGGTCCCCTTAAATTAGCGTCTTGCTTGTTTGTCGATTGTTTTGGTATATTGCGTAATAGGTTGACTGGAATGAGCACACTGCCACCAGCCATAGCGGTGCTTGGTGCTTGTATACTTGGACAAGTACAGTACTCTGATTAAATTGCCTGATCAAGCCATAACCATAGCTCAACTTAACTGTGCATGTAAATGTCCTGATTGAGTGACCTGGGCGAGAGAGTTCAAAAGTGTAGGACGGTTTGTAGCTTCATCTAACATGGTTATTTCCTGCTCACCCACTCGTATTTTTCGGTCCTGCAGATGGGTTTTAATGGATGCCAAATGGGAGGTTTAGTGCCTTGCTATTGGCCTGTTGGAGTGTCTTTTTAACACCATCATATTAAATGACTTGTGTTTAGGACTCGAGGCTACGGCGTGCTCCACTCGTTTACAATATGCCTCGGGCGGAGAGTGTTTGTGACTTACCACTAAAAGAACAAATTTTATCCCTGTGTTCAAGAGGAGGAGGAGGAGGAAGGGGGGGGCTTCTATATTGGCTGCTACCGCCAATAAAAGATATGTGGGCTCTATGACACAGTTGTAGTGGGGCTGCTTCGAGCCCTGGAGCCAAATGCGGTGTGTTTGGAATCAGGCTGACAGCTAGATAGAGAGAGAGAGGTGAGAAATCCCTCTTTGACTCTGCTCGTTTTTAAGCGGGGAAATCTTCTTGCTCTGATTTTTTTGCTCTTAGTTGAAGGCTGTGACAATTTAAGTTCCTGCATGGTTGATTAACTGTGTGTGTGTGTGTGTGTGTGTGTGTGTGAATGGATAAGGGGAGTGAGAGAAGTCAGGATGCAGTTTGAGGGGTGAAGGACTCCCCTGTTGTTTGAGAGGCCCTTAGAGGATTCCTCCCCCTTTCCTCTCTTCCTCCTCCTCCTGTCTTCTTCTTTACCCCCTCCTTTACAGTCATCTCTTCCTCTGTGAGATCCACAATGCTGGGAAGAAATGTGTCATTAACAGGGGAGACCAAAATAATGTTTATGGGCTCAAGCAGCACTGAAATCATTTTCCATATCAGTGCAACTGCATGGGCCCTGTGGGGGAGTAAATCTGATTTTCTCCTCCCTGTGCCAATGGGAAACATCATGGGAAAGAAAACAGATTGGATTGTTAGAGAGATGGCCTGACGCAGCTGTGGGCGGCTCGTTTTGTGTTTGGGTGTGTTTCTGTGTGTGTATGCACAAATCCGAGTATCATGAGAGAGAGAGAGAGAGGAAGACGGAGAGGGGAAGAGGAAGAGAGAAATGAGAGATAAAATTGCGAATGTTTAGCGTGCATGTGCGGAGGGGAGAATGAGATGGATGAGCCCCACTTTGGTAATCACAATTTTATGCTTTAGGAATAAAAAAGACAGAATGCTTGAAAAAAAAAAAAAAAGAAAAAGAAAAGAGTGTTTCGCTCTCATGTAACAATGGGTCAGCTAACAAGCACACTCACCAAAGTTGGGACAGATAATAAATGGTTCTCCTTGAGGAGTGTGTAGCTGCCCCGTATACAAAGAACAAAGTGCTTCTGCTCTGCAAGCACTCAGCAAAATGTCAAGCCTTTATTGGCCATTCCATAAGAAACACTTGCATTTTATCTGAACCGGGAGACAAAAAGGCAATCACTTTAGCAGCTAGCATGAAGGGGAGGTTTAATAACGTAAAATGCTGATGGAAATAACAAGGTGGTGCTTGGAGGGAAAACACTCGGTAATGAGAGTCAAGTCCAAGGGAAACTACGTCGGTACCTGCTTCTTACATCATGAATATTTAAGAGCGGAGTTAAGCGATCTGGTGTTGTGACACTGCTTTTCTTGTGTATGCTATTAAATCCATGTTGTGGGAGTTGGGAATGTGAGTGTACATGTGTGGGTGGGTGTAAAAAGGAAGGTAATGGGCCTTGAGCTCATTTGTCCTGGCCCGGTGCTGCTGCTGTTTCGCATCTGTCCTCCCACCTCCTGTGTCCTGGTCTGGAATGTCTCCTTGTTCTCCACAGATGAGGCCAGTGACTCAGCACTCCATTTCACTTTCACACGGATCACAGAAATATCACCCAAACACAGGTCCGAGTTGCACGCCCAGACCTGCCAGACAATAGCTTTACTTCAGCCTTTGCGCCACACCATTAACTCCTCAGCTGCTCTATGTCCTGTTCCCTCTCTAGTCTAAATACAAGCCACATGCCCCTGCGTTGTGCTCTATCCTTAACATCTTCCCCTGCTTCCTCATCCTCCTGTGGCCTTCACCCACACTGCCAAACCCTTTGGCCCGCTCTTACTTTGACAATCAGAGGTCTTATTGTCTCCTAAATGACACTCTTCCTGTCTTGCTCTTTAGCAAATAGCCGCACTGGTGCTTGGTGTCCAGCTCTTATTTACAGTGCCCATAAAACCTCTCTTCAGCAGGAACCGTTCCAGACATTGCTATCTCTCCCCCGTCTGCCAACCCCCCCACCTCCGCCCTCCGTCTCCACCACTGTTGGCACAGGAGTGATGGGATTTGAGGTGGACCTGGTTTTGAAAATAATGGCTTTAATAATAAAAGGAGGCCTTTTGAATGATTAATGTAGTAAAGCAGAATACCCCTTGAGGAGGTGAGCCAGGTGGCGGCACACATTTGATACCTGCCTTTTTGTGAGTCCTGTACAAAAGTGAAGGAGAATAGATAGACAGAGACGTATCTTTGGCGGGCTGTTTGCATGTTCCCTCACGTCACCTCTGGAGAGAGTTTACTCTATCTATTTGCTCTGTATAAGGATGTGTGGATCCATTGTTGATTTTAGGCTCCTTTCCAAGCCAGTTGGACTAATTTGGTTAAGATCTGATTCTCTTACCACTATTATCTAATTATGTACGCTATATATACAAGGACTGTGCATGTTTTGTTGACTAAACGATTAAGCACAGTCACCCTCCCGTGTCAGCACTGGAATTACTGGTGGGTTAAATAAACTAGTGATATTTTTTATTATGACTGCAGGCCTTAAATGCTGGTCTTATATCATGTCCGCCACCCAGCACTCACCAAGACTGAAGCTCTGAGAATGGCTGTACTGCCATGATGCTCTACTACCTGTATGTACACAGGCATGGAGATGACAAATGGGATTAATGTTAACTTATTAACTTTTCTTTTGTGTACCAAAAATGTACCTGAAGCCATTTAATAATGAAGAGAAATTAGGAAGCTAAAGAGCCTTTTCAAACTTAATTTAATTTATTTATTTAGGGTTAGGGGTTAGGGTATTCTCTACTACCTGTATATAAACAGTTACAGATGACAAACATGGCATGGTGCACTTTTGGTTTGTGTAATTGAAGCTGGTTTCTTTTTCAAAGGATTTAATACTGAAGAGAAATTTGGAAACTACTGAGCCTTTTCAAATTTAGTTTTATTTATTTATTCATTTTTTTCATAAAAAAATAAGGGGGGGGGTTTGAATATTTTTTTTTGGTCAATTTCTTTGTATTTTAACATAAATAAAACAAGGATGAAAGACAGTCATGTGACACAGAGAAGTTAGCAAATATTTCAAATTAAAAGCCTGAGGATCAGAGAATGGGTAAATAGATGAATAGATGTTGTGGGATTTGTAGGCTGCCCTATTGCATAGCTCCAACTATACAGATTACATGTTTAACTAATCATGATTAATGTCATAGATTTCATTGTTGTCCACCTGAAATTTCCACCCAAATACACCATGTATGTATCGATCTCTTAATCCAGCTCCATTTTCCTCCTGGGGCTTTTATTTTGAAATTTCGTCAACGTCTGTTTTTCCCTTCCATCTCATCAGAGCATCCCTTTTGCTTATTTGATTTATAAAACATCTATATTAAGGAAGAAAAGACAAATAAGAAATTCAATCTTTCAGTTTTTTTTATAAAATATTTAAAAAAAGAAATTAGAGGTTGAATTTTCCCCTTATTCCCCTTACAAACCGTTGGAAAGTACATGGGCAAAAAGGCTAGTGGTGCTAGCTCTGCTATTGGTAGCCACACTCTGTCAACCATCTTTGATCCCATGCTAAGAAGTGTTGAATATATTAAGCTGTTTTGGGGTGTTTTTCTACCGTAAGGCTACTTGGTTAGTTGGAACTATGAATTCCATTGAAATGATTAAATAAAGTCCAAAAAGAAAAAAAAAAATCAAAGTGAAGTGGGCGTGGCGCGTCAGCTGACCTCTGAGCCACTTTTATTTGCATAGCACTTCCACAGAAAGCATTCTCAGAGGTCCCATTCCCACCCTGCTATTGCTTCAATCGTGAGCGAGCGGCTGACCACAAAGCCACTCTGCAAACACAGGCTGTCATCTTCAGCGGGACGGCCACCATATTCACACACACTCCGAGGCGCACATATGCTCAGCGACACACACACTCCCACACACATTCTCCGCTGCTCTTTCACCCTCAAAGTTTCTCACAGTCCCTCACACCCTTATCTTCACTCTGAACCCTCGCCCCTTACCCCCCTTCCTCTGGATGTTGCTCTGTAGTAAAGACAATCTTTCTCACTTTCTTCCTCCGTCCATTCTTCCCACTCCTTTTCCACTTCTTCCACCCCCGCACTGACCACATCCACTAAACTCACTCCACAGGCACGCAGTGTGGAGAGTGTCGGAGGCGTGCGCTGCTGGCACTTTCCCCCACCCCTGCACTGGGCCCGGCTCCAGGACTGGACCGCCTGCATGCTGTCTCTCTCCCTCTCTCTCTCGCTCTGATCTGAGCAGCTCTCTTTCTGCGCCGGCCCCACTCCCTCAGCCCCACCATTCAACCACCCACCAACCCCAAAAAAGCCAACCTCATAGAAGGGAGTTTATGAAGCAACAAGAACAACAACAAAAAAAAAACCTCCCCGCTACAGTTGTTTCCGAAATGAGGAGGAATTTGGCTACCAGTTGTGCTAATGTTTTCAAGATGAGTGACTGTTTGAAGGAAATCCCCCCTTCTTTAGTAGCCATTTGAAATTCTTTCTGTGTTTTATTGTGAGGAAGTAGGTGCTGGGTTAGTCAGCAGCCCTCCAGGGAAGCTTGCGCAGTCTGTCTGGGACTGACGGTGTGAACAGTGGCCCGGTCCAATCCATTTTCTCAGTCCTACTCGAAAGGGTCAGAAACGCAGCTAATGAGCGAATATGTGTGCGGAAAGTCTGGCTGGCTTCTCCAAGAGCGTCTGAGTTCTCGGGGTAGAACATGGGACTTCATCTGTAGGAAAGTTTGACGCGAAAGACACTGATGTGGGAGTGAGTTTGACCAACAGACACCCTGCTCAATATGTTTTCATTTGGTAAGTTTACATCGAAATCTATCCACGGTTTCTGACTTTACTCTTTGCATGATGTTTGTAGAGTTTGAGCCAACGCAGGAACACTCAGGCCATTAAGATGCAGAAATTCGTCTTATTATAGGGATAATATCCGCCTCCCAGTCTGGTTTGTTACAAATACAAGCTTTGATGACTTGTGCTGTGAGTGCCTGCCACACTTGCTTCAACGAGCCAATAGATTTAAAGCAGCCCTTTGGAAAGACAGTGTTTCCTTTTGTCTCTATGATCATATAACTAATGCTAATGTTGATTTAATTTATTTGAGGAAAGAAGGAGGGAGTGTGTGTGTGTTTTGTCACAGGTCATGACAAAGAAAAAGTGCATGTTTGCTGTAATCCTCCAGGCTGTGTTGAGCAGATACAGAGCCTGGCTGCCACATGGCACCGACTGCTGACTGCGCAACCTCAATCAGCCTGTGCTCCCTCACTTTCAGTGATAGCAGGTATTATAAACTAGTGTGTGCGTTTCTAAATCTCCCGGCCTTTCTTCTTCTTCTTCTTCTATCCTCTTCATCCTCTTCTCCTGATCACCGGGCTGTTGAAACAGGTTGATGTAGTCACACCTGCTTTTTTTCCCCCCCTCTGTCTCTCTTCTCTTCTTGTCACCATCACTCTCATCTATGGCTGTCTGTCTGGTGTCCTTGTCTAGACGACATGTCCATCCGTCCCTCCGGGCGGCTGTCTGCAGATAAAACTGAGAAGCAGACTACCTTGGCTCATTTTTCAAGAGCAGACAGGGAAATATGAGCCACGGTGAAATAATTCCATTTTTATCTTCTCTTGGACAATAGACACAGTCGTAGATCACCGCATGTATGTGTGTGTGTGTGTCGTTGCTTGAATGCCAAAGCATGTAAGTGCATGCGAAGAGGTGTGTGTCCCCAAGGAGGAAATTTTGATCTGATTCCCAGCATGTAAAAGAACAACATGTTGTTAGTGGGTGCTTGTTGTCTTCTCAGTTTTCTGTCCTCCATCTCTGCTTTGCCCACTCTGCACATCCTATTATTGTATAATTCCTTGTTAAGACAGCAAAATACCACTTGGCATTGATTAGTATTAATGGGCAGGGATGCTCAGCGGAGCAGATTAGCAGCCCAAACAGGCCAGAGATTATGTCACCTCCCTCCCTGCAGCCCAACAATTGAAACCAGATTAGAGCGCAGAGAGAGAGAGGTGCGTTTGTGTGTGTACACCCGGGTGGGGTTTCAAGGTAGTTTTGGGAGGGCTGCTGTTCCCCGAGCAGCACAATGACCAACTGCATCTGCCCACTGCTGTAGTAATGGGAAGCATTCAGCCTCTAGCCCGGAGCACTGTTTCCCTATCGTTCCCATGACAACTGGGCATCCATTCTCCCTGCTCCGCCTCCCCGCCTGCTGCTCACTCAGCGCCGTCCACAGGGGCCCTCTGCCTGGGCCTACATTACACACGTGCGTTGTGGTTGTTGTGCTCAAACCGGACTCTGCACACCCACCCACGCCGGAGTGTGGGTGGAGCAGCACTTGTTAACACCTCCACCTTCTGAGGAGCTGGTACATTCCTGTGTTTGTTTCTGCTTTCGGGGCAGTTTGAGCAGACTTGTTTGTGTGAGGGTGTCAGGGTGGGTTGCAAGATGTCAGGGGAAGGTGCGGCTCCTCCATCTTAATACTTCCCTCGTTCACCTAATAGGATTAATCGCCATCTCTACCAGGGGTGGGCTCTGATTAGGGATGAACAGGACCCTATTTTCTCGAGCAGTCAACACAAGCGCACTGCTGGCACCACTTACAAACTCAAGGAATAAATAAACAAGTTTTTTCTTCACGAACGTAGGCAGGAAAACACAACTTTTATAAGGAGCTAGCCTGGCAGTGGCAGGCTCCCTGGATCTTTGACACTATTTAATAAGCTGCTAAATAAACACTTTTGGTGAGTCCAGCGCCGGTGCTGTCATGCCTCAAACCTTTTTGCTCCACTTGTTCTGCTCTGCTTTGGTTGACACCCAGACTTTAACTACCCAAACACTACAGTAGACCAGCCCACTTTTATAACCCGTGTGCTTTCTCACAGACACCTCTGATTCATTAGAGTTTACATGCATCCAGGGAGGGTTTCGTATAAACGCAGTGTGAGAGTTACTCATGTCCTCAGATTCAGCAGTGGTGTGAGAATGCAAAGGGGTTTTTCTGCAGAACCGGGCCGACACAGATGGAGGTGTTCCGATCTGAGTGACAGGCTGTGGAGTCAGCAAGACCCGGTGTGACAGAGGTGAAGGCCGTTGCATGATTCCTCCATACTACACTTCAGGATTGTCAGATTGGACTTCCTCTGCAACCCTGAACCAAACTGGGTAACCGCAAGGGATGTGCATTTCATTGAATATTCAACCCTCCCTCAGTGAGAAGGACAGAAAGAAATCCATGATTATCATAACTCTGTCTTTTTATTTTGACAGTGATGCGATTCACAGAACAACATAATTATATAATAATTATCAACTGCGCCGCCTCCTCTATAAACCATAGGACAAAGCGATTCTCTTCCACAGGACAGTGGGAATTATCCAGACATATCCCAAACTCTGAAAACCCTCACCTTCAACCAAGCTGATTGGGAGCATGTCTTTTGCGATCATCTTCGAGATGACGGACATCTCCTAGTGGCAAAGCTTGCAATTGACTGTTGCTGTGACGACGACCTCCCGCTTTCATATGGCTGTGCATGGTTATCGTAGACTTGTGATTTGCAAGCTTAGCCTCGCAGAGTTTACACTGAACCTCTGCTTCACTCGTTTTGCTAAAATAACTCCACACAGAACTTTTGGACGGCTGCTGGAGTAATCTCTCTATCGTGTTTTTGCTACTGTTCATTTCTTCTTCTGCAGTGGCATCCAACCCGCCACTCTGTGTATCGTGCAAATACTACCCCCGTGCGGAAGGCGCCAGTAAAACAACTTTTTCTTTCCAGATGTGAACTATTCGACTTTTTAGGATTTAATGACTATGTGAATATTTGAAAATCGTTGCACATCCCTAGTAACCACAAGGTCTTCATGTTTGAGTACTCCGAGTCCCTCCCAGGGTTCTGCTCCATTCCTGCTCCCACCTAACATCAGCGTAAACTTCAAAGATCCTTTTGCCTGACATCGAGAATTTCCCTTTTTATGTATTGTCCCTCTCCTCTCCTTGTCTTCCTGGCTGAGGCTCTTTCCTCGCTCGGTGTGTGAAGAGGGGCTTCGCAGCCTCTCTCTGTCACTCCATGTCTCTCTCACCCTTTCTCTCTCTCTCTCTCTCCGGGGTGAGGCTGTTAATAATGCAGGAGGATTAGCTGATTTATGTGAGCCGGAGGCACTGAGGAAAGCTGGGGTTCCTGGGGGCGACAGGCAGAAAGAGAGGGCAGAGGATTGTGCAATGTGCAGGGCGGTGCCATACAGGAGCCCTGGGTGTCTGGATGATGGTGGCTGGATGTGAGCCTTGGGAGTGTGTTGGCCACAGCCAACCCCCCCACTGCCCTCAATACCCACCCTGCGCTTTACAGAGTGGTGCCAGGAGCACTATGAAGGGTCAGGGGTGATTCGAGGTGGCAGTCTAGTAAGGGGAGGGGCTGAAGGGGAGAAAAGCACAGATTTTGTTCAAGCTATTGGGCTACATGCGGCTAACATCACCAGAGCACCCTCTCCATTATTACAGTGAGCTGTGTCTACAGATATGTCTCAGTATTGGCAGCTATCTGACTCATTGCTCTTGCATGGAGCCACTACAGCTTGTAAATGCAGACAAATAAGGCATCCGCAAAGAATTCAAGATGACTGTGATATACTATTTAGTAGAAGAAAAAAAAACACTTGTGGTGAGCCGACTTGATGGAAATGACTCCTCAGCGGTGTTGGGTGGAGTACAGTAAGACATGGTAAGCCTGTGAGCCTGAGCTCAGGGCAAACAAACCCCCTTCTACGTGCCTTTGCGGATCATGTTACAGATTTGTGGACCATGCACTGCACACAATAGCAAATCTCAGTAAGTACAACTATAGAGGAAGCCATGTGTGCACCGTAGACTGTACTAAAAACAAAACATGGACGTTGGCTCAGGGACGTCTGAAGGGGAACTTTGAGACCAATCATTGATGGTCGCCATGTTTGAAATAGGACCTTCTTGGAAAAGATCAGTTTGCCGCAGACATTTATACTTTAAAGCAAAATTGTCTTTTTAGAATGGGTGTGTATGTGGGTCCTGGAGCTTTTGAAACCAGCCTCAAGTGGACACTCGTGGAACTGCAGTTTGATTTACACTCAATAAAAACAGACAGTAAGATTCCTGATTGTTTACTGCATCTTTTTAGCTCCTGTTGCAAAAACACTTTTCAGCCACATTCAAAAATTAGTCTATTTTTGTAGGCTTGTGGATCAACATTTGCATTATGAACACCTGCGTGCAAATCTGTCTATGCCTTTGTAGATCTACTTATGCATTTGTAGATTTGCATTAGGGATGCACCGATCTGCTTTTCTCACCTCCACGATACAGATATTTACAGTTTAGTATCAGCTGATACTGATCCAATTCTGATACAGAAAAGCCACGCTGAATGACCTTTTGTTGTAAAGTTTTACCAACTGCCCCTCGGACCATTTGCTTCACAGGTATTGCAAGTGACCGTCGAGCTTGTAGGCTGAGGTATCGTGATAAAGTTCAAGATAGCAGACACCTTTGCTCGCTCCATTGTGAAAACAACGTGGGCATCCGCTCAGCGTGTTTACTTGTTGATGCCACTCATGGCGAATAGCATAGACTGAATAGATCGGCCCCTATGCATCAGGCCCATTATCACGATACCTGATCTAGAATTTTCCTCAGTATTGAGACCGATACCGATATCAAATATCGGATCAGTGCATCCCTAATTTGCATATAGTTTTGCTACAGTAGATCCATAACATTGCTTGTTTTTTTAATGTCCTGAATCAAGTATCATTATATCAAAACATGGTTTTAATTTGAGTTAATTTTGCTGTTTATGACTCAAAAGTCCGGTTAAAATCTTCCAGTTCCATGTTTTCTATTGTTCAAGTGAAAAAGATTGACCAACAGGAAACACACAAACACACAGCGTCGGTTTTAAGGATGTTTTCCAAGGAAGAGCTCTGTAAGGTCGGGGATTGTGGGGGATTTCCACCTGTCTAGGGCCCTGGTGCAAAGAGTGACAGAGCTGTGTGCGAGAATGCGTGTCCAATGCCCATTTCTACGCAGGAAGTGTATTTGTGTGTGTTTGCCTCTGCATGCTCCCGTGCTCCGGCCCATGAGCCATAGGCTTTCTCGGAGCAGGGGCAAGCAGCAGACTGATGGGTTTATTCCTGCTGTCTGCCCAGAGGATGTGCTCACTCACTGCCTGGCTGATTAAGACTTCCACACAATTGTTCTCACACTCCCAGAAAAAAAAAAAACGATCGATTCATGTTTGCACTGATTCACGCTTAAAGAAAATCAAATCACACAGAGGTCCTTGTTAGATCTGCACGCCATGAGGGGCTGTTAATGAATTTTTACAACGTCACTCTCCCTTCCGTTTTCACAACTTATGCACATGGTATGCGAAACCAATGTGTGTTTGTGCACGTATGTGCGTGTGTGAGCACATCCAGGCTTCTTCATACATATGCATGAGTCTTCACAGCGGTGTGACTTGGGGGAAATGAATGTGCAAAGAGCCGGGGACCCGGGCCCCTCGCTCAAGTGCACTGGCGGGCGCGTAATGGGAATGTAATTTAAGCAGTGGTTAATCAGTGTGTTTTCTCCGACTTGCCCAGCAATGCATAATAGACAATCAGCCCCCAGTCACACCGGCGTTGCTACGAATGGTCAATTACTCATCATAGTCTTGTTAAACACACAGTTCAGCCAGCCAGGGACAGATTGCTCAGCTGGTGCCATCATTATGTTAAAGAACAAAGCAAAGTAATGCTATGTGTCGGAGAAAGAGGAGAGAGAGGCGCGCACGTAGGGTATGTCTGCGATGCGATGGGACGGAGGAAGGAAAGGGAGGAAAGGGGCGCTGTGACAAAGCAGAAGGAGGAAGGGAAAAAGGAGCAAAACGTCCAAAAATGGAGCCGCAGAAGAATGTACGAGTACAATGTCAGAGTCATGCAGAGAGAGAGGAAGAATGAAAGAAAAGAGAGACAGAGAGAGGAGGTGAAATGGAGCAGAGCGATGAAAAAGATTGAGGGCATGAAAGTGAGAGATGGAGAGCATAAGATAATGGAGGGAGGGAGAGAAATTGAGAAAGGGACACTGGGGAGCAGGAGCAAAAGTGTGTGAGAGCGAGAGGGAGAGAGCCTGAGAAAGTGTGTACTCAGCTGTGAGATGAGACCTCTGTCTGCCCATGGGGAGAGGCGGTGTGAGGGGAGAGAAGGCGAGGGGAGAGGACTCTGCTGTCAGTGAGGGGGAGGAGAGTCTCTCACTCTGTCTCATCACACACACACACACTTATACACTCATTCACCCTCTCCCCAGGGTAGCGATCAACTCTGCCTATCATAATAATTCCACCTAGAAGGCCGGTGGACTCCATCCTTTCACATCTACATCTGGATTTTTTCTTGATTTTGCTCTCACTCATGATGCACTCCTCTAATTCTAACCATGTTCTCTCTCCCTAACTTTGTCCCTGTGGGCATGCAGGCAGTGGATTGATGGGCAATTCCTCCGCCTCCTTCATGGGGACCTTTCTGGCCAGTAGCCTGGGTACCCCCCCTTCCCACCCGCCTCACCCTTCCCGGCCACCCTCCTCGCCCTCCTCACCCTCCTTCCGGGGCGGACCCCACTCCAGCGCCTCGCAAATCTGGTTCCCCCATTCGCATGAAGGTACCTCAAGTCACACATGTACTCAAACACACTCCCACAGCCTCACTCCTTCATCTCACAACATCGCCTGGCGGGGCGGGGATGGATTCATATCTTGGCAGTATCGGGGACAGAGCTTTGCAGGGTGTATTGTTACACTGATTCTGCGTATTTTTAGCTTTCCGCCAAAGCATGACTTGTAATCAGCTAGCTGGGGCCAGGCTCCCACCCTTTTAATGTGCTCTAAAGTAGACCCGGGACCCGCATGTTTAGAACTGCGCCATGGTTTCTGGATGGGGACACGGGGTCAAAAGTTCAGCCAAGGAATCTTGTGGTATTGGATTCACGTCAGCAGGAATGTCGCTCAGGATTCTGTGAAGCAGCACGCCAGTTAAAAGTCGCAGTGATTGCAGAGCTTTCAGCTGGTGTCTCCATCACGGTTTAATAAGGTGGTTCCCACCCATCGTTTAGCTCATATATGCGCACATACGTATGCTTCAGAGACTTATATTTCTGCTCGGATACAGCTGTGGAGTCAGACAAGGATAAAGACGAGAGATTAGTCTGCTTGGGTATTTTGGGAATTCAAAAGCAAAGGATGTCAGATAAATGTAAGACCCCCTACCCGCTGATACATTAACGCAAGGTCTGCTTTCTCCCGTGACTCCGCTCCTGTCACTTTTGGATTTACATGTTCATTATCTTTAGCTAATTACATGATCGGATGGCCATCTAGTGAACCGCGGTCTCTGAAGTTGACAGATTTTTGTCAGTCAGTCTTCTTGTGATCATTTATTCCTCCACTAAGAATAGCCCAGCTGTTAGTCCAGGGGGCGATGCCAGTGGGGGGAGTGTTTGTTAGTTGTGGTCACTGATCAGCAGCGCTCCAGTTGCCTGATGTTCGGCTGATTGGATGCAGTGCAGCTGAGATGCTGTCTGTTCTCTTTTATATCGGTGAAAAGGCAGCTCTGCTTTTCCGCTCCCCTCCCCCTTACTTTGCCTTTAAGAGGGTTGAGTCAGGGGACGCCTGAAACAGAGGTGAAAATAGGTAAAACCGAGCCGTCGTCAAATCAACAAGACGACAGAGATCTAGCATCAGGGTAGTCGGAATCATTTTCCTTAAAAACAAATCTGAGTGTCTCCTCTACCTTCGAGTTTCAGGGTTTCATTGTCAAAGATTTTCTTCTTGTGGAAAAGTAGAATAATATTAATAAGAGTGATGACGATAATGCCAAGCCTAATAAAAGTAATGGAGGTGATTATGACTGGGATTATTACTCAGTTGGCAATGGAGGCCATTATCTCTATTGCAGTTTAATTGCATATAACGCACTAAGAGCATGATTGAATCCAGACTGTTCATCAACCACATTCAGCTGTTCCCTCCTCAAGATAATTGCATATTGTCTTTTTCCTGTTTTGCATAAAAAGCAAGTCATCAAAATGAGCGGCACAATTACCCAGACTCTCGCCTGCTCTCTCCGGGTGTCAGCAGAACCCCACCAGCAGCAGCAGCAGCAGCAGCAGAGCAGGCGCTGAATTGTGCGTGTATGTGTCAGCGCGTTAGTGTGTAACTTGTAACCTTAAAGATATTCTCTGGATTTTTTTGTGTTTTTCCGAGAGCATTTTTTTTCTTTCTTAAAGCGGCTGCATGCAAATCGTGCATTCGGAGATCACTGTTTGATCCTCGTGTCTCTGGCACATACCTGTCACCTGTCATAGAGCAGAATATCTTTGTCTCTTCTTTTCCTCTGGCGTTTTTTTCATGAAACCTTCGACTCAAACAGTTATTGATATAATAGTCTCATTAGTCGACAGCTTACCACAGATGTAACGATCAGGGATTTTGACGGTATGATTATGGAGAGCAGTTAATAATCAATTTCATAATTATCAAGATATCTATGAATTTATATGATGTGCAAATGTTCAGCTATATTCAAATGTGGCAATCTTATCAGTTCTAACTGGAAAGAAGCAGTCATACAGGTATGCACACTTGCTGTTTCGCCATGTCTCGACTGTGGCGCTGCCGCTGCTTCACATTAGTAGCTAGCCCTCAAATTTGTTGCCACTGCTTCATACAAACTCGACAAACAGCTAACTTTCTGTGTTTTATAATTCCAAAATACTTCCATGCGGCATTTCTCAGATGTTTTGGTGACGTTATTGTTTTTAGATTAGCTTAAGTGTATTAATTAAAGTCGAGTGCATGGACTGGCCAGGTTCTAGGTTACTATGGTTACCACTACTTTAGGTGGCCTGATGCTTCGGTAGGCTACACAAGTCTGAATGGCCCTTTATTAGGGTTGTCCTAATCTGATGTTGATATCGGATATTGGGCCGATATCAGCAAAAAAACAAATATCGGATTATATCGGCCCGCATCTAAAATCTCAGATATCAGCACTCTGATAAGAGCTGTCCATTCCAGATCCCACTCCAGCACCTCTATCTAGCATGCAGAGTCCTTGTGATCACAACAACAGTGTGTACTAAGGTACTAACAAAGTACCAAGGAGTAGGAGTGTTGTTGGCCAAGTGGCAGTATTTTTCGTTAAAGTACGAAAAAGACGTTGCAGCTTAGATTTGTCATGCACAAGTTTGTGCTAATATCGGATTGATATAGGTATTAGCCAATACTGAAGGCTACATTATCAGTATCGAATTGATATAGTGAAAAAGTTGTATCGGGACACCCCTACTCTCAAGTAACAAACCCCAGATCTGACTTGACCCCTGAGCCACATGTCATCAATACGTCTTTACACTTGAAACAGCATAGTATTGGTATCCCAGTGTATGATTTTACATTTTATTACAGTTTGGCTTTTCTTAAGTCTTGAGTATGTAGATTCACTGAGTGTCTAACAATCACAGTACTCATGTATTCAACGTGCGCCTTTCTTACTGAAATTTCCTGCAGTATTTCATGAGAAAGTAGCAAAAACCTGACAGAGAGATCCGTTTTGTTTTCCTAATCTTAAATCAAATGGACCAAAAGTCAACCGCAATATACACACCAATCAGTCACATTAGGAGAAAGCCCTCAGAGCTTAATATTTCGGGTTCGAAAGCCAGATCTGAGTGAAGGGAGTGTAACTTAATCTGCATTAAGAGAGAGCAGGGCTGAAATGTTTGGAGTATGTTTAGAGGGAGTCAGTGAAGCCACGCATGCAGACCGCATATCTACTGGGAGCCTGTGCGACAAAACCATTAGCTGAGTGACACATTAAGCAAAGCTATAAATAGCTTCTCCACATAACAGTGGTGGAATGGCCCTTTGGATGGAGGTGGCTTTGGCAGGGGGGTTTGAGTAAATTTCATGGAGTAATGTCCTGGAGTTTTGTTTGAAGATTGATTGTTTTGGTGAAAGAAAGTGTACGGCGCGCTGTCGTACAAACATTAACATATTTGTGCCGGATGACTGTGCCAGGAAGCAAAACCATTAGTGGCTTTCATGATGTCAAGGGGGTGCAAGGATTAAAAAGGTTTTTTTATGCTCTGGATTCTCCTCTCAGATTGAGTGCCAGATACTGTAAGAGCCATTGTGTGTACCGTACATTGAGTTGTCTGTTTATTCTATAAGGGGAGCCCTGGACCGCCTGACACAGAGCAGGAGAGGACGGCCGGGCTGTACACGGCGGTGTTGTGACTGTTTTAATAAATGTAATGTAAAGTGTTTTTCATTACACTTGGTGAAATGGATTAGGCCCTTTGAGCTTCCAGATGATTTATTTTCATTTCATGTTTGGAACCGTTTGAATGAACCTTTCTGAATCAACTGAGTGGAAAAATTAAAAAAGAAAAATGGACCATAAAAAAAAAAAAAAGAAAGAAAGAAAAAACCTGCCTCCTCACAGGCCGGAGGCCAGCTGGCTGAGGTCCAAATGACTTCTTACGTTATGCCAGAAACAATCGCGGTCTCGTATTCCTGTCAACACGTATAGACACACATGCATGCACATACACATCCGCCTGTACACACCTGTCTAATCCACTCCTGTTTGATATGCCTTTCCAAGCCTATCTTCAGTTGTCCATCTTTCCTTCTGTTAGCAGTTGCTAGCTTTTCCTTTGGTTGGATTTAAGCTGCTGCACCCCCCCACCTCTCCTCTCTTCCGTACTCCTGCCTCTTTCATTCTCTCTCCCTCTCTCTCCCTCTCTCTGCCTCTCGTGCCAGCCTGCATCCCTTCCTTTCAATTAGTCAAACCTAAAGAGATCCAGCACAGCGCTGCCCCTCCTCCGCCAAACCCCTCCTCCTCCTCCTCTTCTGTCTCTTGATGGTTCTGTCACTTTTTCTCAATTAGCGGACCTGACAGGCAGCTCAGCCCGCTCCTCCTCTCCTCTTGGTCTTCTTCTGCCGTGCTCTCTCTCTCTCTCTCTTTCTTTCTTTCTCTGCTGTTTCTCCAGAGAGGACCTACAGTTCTGAGTTTATGTTATGTTGTGTTTAAGCAAAATTAAAGAGGCCCTCGTCTGGGATTGAACATGCCATGCTGGTATCTTCGGAGCAGGTTTTGGAGAGGATACAAGCCGGTGATTCTGTGCTGGTGCAACACGAAAACACTGTCATCTGCTTTTAATTCAGCAGGCTTAATTCTGCTCTGCCTCTAGGTGCTGTTCTATATCCAGCCCCCTTCTTTGTCCTCCCTGTCGGCCTGCTTCTCTTAACCCACCATGCTGTGAGAAATACCTCCAGAACTTGGAGAAATCCCTCCCTGGGATGCGTCTCTGTTTGTTCTGCCTCTCGCCCCTGCTCCGCCTGTGGAAAGGAGGGCATGTGCTGCGAACTCCCCTCTGCCATTCACTTGCCAATGCGGACTTGTTTATGTGTGTGTGAGTGTGTGGAAGGAGCAGAAGAGAGCGAGGCTGCTGTGCAGTCAGCAGACTGCACTAAGACCCTGCTCACGTCGCCTGCAGCAGGAGCAGCGGCAGCAGCTTCCCTTGTCCTGGCCAGATTAATGGCTGAATGGGCTCTACCCTGCCCAGCAGTCCCCCTCTTGCCGCCCCAATGGAGGGCATGCTGAAACTGAGCGGGCTGGCATTATCGGGCACAGCCAGACCACGCTGTGAAAAGGGATTACGCCGTCAATCGTCACGCTCACAAACAACATGCTGCCGCAGAAAAAAAAAAAGCCCCTCTACCAGCTTGGATAAAGACTGCCAAACAGCTCAGTGCTTTTCTCCCTCACAAAATCAGAGAAAAACGTCTTGCTTTAACAAAGAAACCCCCCCTTTCTTTCACTGTAGATGAATTGGCATAAATGTGTGCTTATTAATCATGACAGCATAGAAAGAGACGGAGACAAAAAGGAGAGACAGAGAATAGCAAAAGAGAGGTAGAAAATAGGTGAAACAAAGAAAAAGAGGGAGAAAAAGTGAGGGTATGTAATTATCACCCCATTGCCCTCCTCAGAAAGCAGCACCTCCTGTGTTATTGCAGGGCTGTTTGCCCTTTCTGTGCATTTCATTAATTAAGATGGGAGCATGCCGAGGCCGGGGTCATTAAGCCCACCACAACACTCCTCCCTTCCTAGAACCTGCTCACAGCACCGGCCTCATTGTTCCGACGGCAGAAAGTGAGATATTCCACACTCTGAGCTCCTGTTAAAACCACAGCGCTGTGCGGGCGAAAACACACACACACACACACATATACACACACACAAGGCCAAATGAATTGCATCTGCGCTTTCGTGGATAAGGTCGCACGCTTGCCAACACAAATACGTCTGTCTTTCATTTAGCTTGTAGAGCCATGTTTTCCTCTCCTTATCCCCCTCCTCCTTCCTTCACTCCGTCTGTGAGTCGTGTTTGAAAGTGAGGCTGGAGGGTGAGACAGGTGCAAAAGCAGAGAAAAGGAGACGTGAACCACCTGGACTCTGTGGATGACTCAGAGGTCACTGAGATGCTTGTATGTTGTGCTGCCGGACAGGAGGCGTCTGTTTTGATTACAGTCGCATTAGGGCTGGGCCATGCAGCTGAAAGTGATCACATTTTTCACATCAGTAACCATCGTTATTACAATTAATGTCAAATCATCATTTCTTTTAAATTTAATGGTATATTTTGGCTCCTGGAGAAACTAGACGGTTGATCAGCCGGTGTGAAATCTTGATTTTTAACCAATCTAGCAGGAGACATATTTTTGCGGGGGGGGGGGGTAAATGCCGCTGCATTGGTTATATTTTTGTGTCCGTCATAATATATGGGATAATATGGTTCAGGTCTGAAACATGCTCCTAAAAAGCTCATTTACAGAGATTTCAACCCTAACCCTAACCCTAACCCCGATACCCAAACAAAACCCTTACGCTTAAATTTTTTTTGTGTCATTTTTCCTAATTTTTTGTACCAATGGACTTCAAAAGGTCTGAACGTGCTACTAAAAAGGTCCTGGACAGTGATTTTAGCCCTAACCCTAACCCCATAACCCTTACGTAAGCCTAACACTTAAAAAAAGATTTTACATTTTTCCTAAATTTTTTTTGGTTGTTGTTGCAATTGACTCCAAAAGGTCTGAAACATGCTCCTGAAAAGGTCCTGGACAGTAATTTTAACTCTAACTACAACTCTAACCCTAAAAAGGTCCTGGATATAACCTTAACCCCCACCCTAATAACCCTAACCACCAAACCCCAATACCCCAATGTTACCCCAATGTAACCCAAATACTTAAAATTTTAAAAAAAAAGCAATTTTCCTAATTTTTTTTGTACCAATTGACTTGAAGTGGTCTGAAATGTTCTACTAAAAAGGTCCTGGACTGTGATTTTACCCCGAACCTCCCAAATCAAAGAGTTTGCTGATGAAGGAGGGGGTCCTTTTTACTTGCTCTGTGCTTGCTGAGGGTCCACCAACACTGCAGTTCCTCACTTTTAGTGCCAACTTAAAGTATCAAAGTCAAATTGTTAACAAAAATAATGATAATTTTGTCAGTTTTATCCAATTAGGAACATGGAACGGTCACCAATAACAAAAGTCTATCCATTTCGTTTTGTTAAAGTTTTAGGGGCACCGTCAGACATTCAAAATCAATATCGCCCCAACTGTGCATATTCACTTAGAACTGCTATCAGCAGCAAGTATGAGTATAAATCCTCTCTACCTCCAGCCTTCTTTCTCATTTTCATTCATAAACTTTTCCATATACAGAACATCCCACTGACAAAGACATTTTTAGCTGCTACTTCTCTCTTTTAATTCTAGCTTGGAGTTATGTTAGAGAGCCAACTTAGTAAGATGTTTCTTAGTGATGATCAACTCTAAATCAATGGTGAATGAAGATTCAGTAAAAACTGAATGCCCCTAGGCAGGCGCTGGACTCAAGGACATCAAGAACCAAGCCCAGATCCCCCAACCCACCCCACCATCACCACCACACAAAAAGAAGTCGTCTTCAAAGAAAACATATAAAGCCAAACTGACCACAGAAAAACCGTTTTGTCTCTTGACTTTGAATACGAAACATTCCTCTGTATTACTTTGGATCAGCAGGGACAGCGTAGCAGCCTTGTATTGGTGGGAGAATCTAAAACTAAAAGTTGAAGTCCAGATTTAAACCGTAGTTTAACCTCAATATAGATTTCTGATTTGTTGATGGAATTGTTTTGGAGACAGAGAACATTTTGACCAAGTTGATGACTAAAACTAAATTAAAGTGTTTGACTTTTAGTGAAGTAGGACTAGAATAAAACTAGAAAGGGCAAAAATGACTCAAATGTGACTAAAACTAAAGACACACTGGCCACGGTTCAATCGTCATAAGAGTGCCAATACTCTATGATCATTTCCCTTTTCTTATTTATTCAATGGACCACATGTAGAGTAGGTGTTCATGACAGGTTTTTATCTTTTTTAATATCACATTATGTAATCTAGTCAGTGGAGAATAATCTGACTTTCATCGCACGCCTATACTGCCCTATTTTTGCAATTTACCGTGCTTTAATTTTGCTCCCAGTCTTTCTCGCAACTATGTTAAATAATTAATTACATACTACGAGAGACAGAGATAGTCTAATTCTAATTAATTTGTTTGGTTGTTGTAGTTACCCGCTCGCACTAGATGTTGGTTGTCATAGCGATGGTGTTTCTTTGTCCTAATATTGCGTTTGGCTTTCATCTCAATCCATGTTCTCTCCTCCCGCCCTCCACCTTCAAAGTCCTTTGTGATTTTATTTTTTTTTCTCGATGTCCCACGCAAAATGAGTTTTGTGTTTGGTTGTGGTGTAAATGCTCTCCAGATGGGCCCGATGAAATAAGCCCAGGTGTGTTGGCTTACGGTCCCAACTTTCATATGACCTTTTACCCCCGGTGTGGGTCAGTCAAGGTCAGCCGCTCGGCTTTTCCTTCATGGTAAACAAGCTTTAAATCCGTCCTTATCACCCCATTCAGATGGATAGAGGTGCCACTGCCAATTGTGTGAGAGAGATAAAGAAAGAGCCATATGTTTCAAAGACAAATTTCATACATTACAGCAATCCCCAGGCTTGTCTTGTTTTGTTTGCATTCTTAACTCAAGCAGGAAAGGCAAACATGACAAGCAGAGCCAGTACTTATTTGCGTATGAACACCACCAGCTGCATTGGACCTGAAGGATTATGTGGGGTTACTCTGAATAACTGCATCTTGCTGGTTATTGTCCTGTCTTATCAGTTCTCTCTTTTTCTCTCTCTGTTATCCATCTCAGCAGCTCCAGGGTATCCCCGATTCTCAGGGAGTTTGGCCCACACTTTCCTTCCCATGAGCCACTTGGATCACCATGCCAACAGTGGAGTTCTATATGGCCAGCACCGTTTCTATGACACCCAAAAAGGTGAGTCACTGGATGATTAGAGTTTAGTCAGACGGATAAAAGACGACATTGAAATCAAACTCATGCAGCTACTGGTGCGTTTCCACCAAGTGGTCCTGTTTTGTTTGGTACAGTTTGGTACAGTAAACCCTGATCTTGCTTGCGCTTCCTCAGCCAACTGTACCCTGGCGCTTCACACAGGAAGCATGGCGGCGTGACAGCTCCAGAATGGCTTGATTTTCATTTTGGCATGTTTGTAACCAGATTAGACCATTCTGACTGTTTGCGTGAGCAGCAAATTTTACGAGTCTCTGTCTCTAAAGAAAAGGTTTGACGATTTTTGTCTGTAAGCTGGGCGTGGATCTCAGCAAAAAGTGCACAAAAAGAAGTCCAGTTTAGGGCTGTATCAGCTCTGCTTGTTATACAAACATGACAAATAATCTGTGGTAGCACTTCTGGAGTGCTTTCCAAAGCAAAAGCCCAATCTGTTTCAGAGAGAGATTCCTCTTCATACTGCAAAATGCTTTTATAAGTCGTGTGCAGGACAGTTATGGGGTAAAATAAGTAATTTGATTAGCTCCTACTTCCAACCTTAGTAAAAAAATTCGGTCCATTTTTAGACCTGATAGTTTCATGATGAGATCAGCTGTACAGTATGCCACTTCGCCACTAATGTGATCTTGTGTTTTGATATCTATAAATGCATTTGTTCTTACTTTTCTGATTTTTTTTTTTCCATAATCAGAGAATTTCTATCTTCGAAGTCTGCCGTCCCAGCCACCGCTCATCTCAGCCAATCACAGTCTGCCACCAATGTCCAGGGCAGGTTCGGGACACTCTCAGGGGTCCTGCAGCAGAGAAAGAGATCCAGGGGTGGGGACAGGTCTCCATAAGGGTCTTAAAGAGGCGTCAGTGGAGAGAGGAGTGGGACCTGTGAAGGACAAGGAGAGGTCCAGCAGCAAACACGATGCAAAGGAGAGACAGCAGCACCAACAGCACCACAGCCACCAGCCACAACAGCCCACACACCACCACCATCACCACCATCATTCCCACCCCCATCAGCAGCATCCACACTATCCACAGCATCCGCTACCGCTGGAGGAGGTCAACAGCAGAGCAATGGAAAGACACAAGGCGTCACTCACAATGGAGTACAGCAAAGAACACCCTCAGACTATGGGGAAGCCCCTCAGTGCCTGCTTGCACAATGGCAAGATGCAAAATGGTGATGCAGGAGCTGGAGCGGGGGCTAAGGCCTCCATGTCCAGCTGTGGTGGAGAGGGTACAGCCCTCGGGGCTATGGGGGGTGGGGGTAGCAGCCAGGGCAGACATATGGGGTCCAGTGGCAGTAGTCGTTGTACCAAGGAGGGGATTAGTGGGGAGATGAGGATCAGTGAACAACCATCGGACTGTCTGGAAAGGGGTCAGGCACCACTTCACCATTCTCTGCCCTACTCTGTACCTCCACCCTTACATATGGGTTCCCCTGCAGGAGGGGCGCACCCCCATCCGCATTCTCATTCTCACCCTCATACACATCCTCACCCAGGGGGCTTCCACTGCCTTCAGCTCCACAGCCATCCACACCACCCACATCATTCCCACCACACACACCACCCAGACTTCTTTTGCCCACCCCCTCCTGCTCCTCTTGCCAACCCCGCCTCACATGAGAGGGGGCCGGCCAATGTGGTGAGAGATGGCAAAGTCACAGGGCCTACATTTGTGCCATCTGTGGCGGACCTGGGAGACAAATCCAGTGGGCCATTCCAGCTTGGTAACCCTGACTGCCAGGGTGTGGGCGTTGGAGGGGGAGGAGGAAACGCCAAGGACAAGGTAATAGAAAAAAACGGAGGTGGTGGGCACCATAGTAGTTGGCATAGGAAACAGCAGCAGCAGCAACAACAACAACAACAACAACATCAGCAGCAGCAGCAACAACAACAGCAACAACAGCAGCAGCAGCAGCAACATCCCTACAGAAAGACAGAGAAGGCCCCAGACTGGATGCAGTCCCACCACCAACACCTTCAGCCCTCACAGCTTCCTCCAACTCCCCAGCTACAACAGCCTCAGCACCCTCAACAGCAGCACCAAGTTGCACGTTCACGCAGCGCTGAGTGTATCAACAGTGGTGTGGATATGGACGTGTTCAGGTCCTCAGTTCCCCAGGGACCAAAAGCCGGACACTCCGTCCCTCATTCTGTCAACACATCACCCTACAGAGACTGTTCCCATCCTGGTCCTCCACCAAACTCTTCCCCACTTGGTAGTAAAGGCATGGGCCAACACGGTGGTGCTGGAGCACCCCATGGCCCTAGTCCTGGGGTCAGCTGCTCCTTACAGAGAGATGGCCAAAAGGTAGCCAGGATACGCCACCAGCAGCATGGCCGACCTGGTCAAGATGCTCCTTCTCCGGCTGAGTTGAACCAAGTGACAAGTCAGGAGTTGAAAAGAAAGATGGATATGTCTCCTTATGGTTACAATAACAGCAACGGGCAGCACCTCCACCAGCAGCCCCCATTGCCATCCTGGGCCATGAGGCCTCCAAACCACATGTCACAACCTGAGGAGGAGCAAAGGAAGACCTACATGGAGTTAGGGACCACTGGGGGTCACTCCCAGCAGCAGCAGCAGCAACAGGGAATGAGTCTGCCTCCTCCCCAACCTCCCCCTGTCCCTCCCCTCACTCAGCAACAGCAGCAACCACAGCAGCAGCAACAAGAGCCCCAAGGTCCAACTCAGGGGGAGAACAGTGCCATGAAAAGCTTACTCAAGTACAGCAACCAGCAACAGCCACTGCTCCTCTCCCAGAAGAGCCCCTTTGGCGGGCTAGGAAGCCTCAAATCAGGTCCTGCTGGTGGGAGCTGTGCTTTGCAGGGCAACAAACAGACTTTACCATCCAGAAAGGGTCCAACAAATGAAAATGAGCGTCCTGATTACAGTGGACGGAGCAGGGAAATGGGCGAAACAGGACATGGAGAAAGTGAGGTGCGGCAGCCGCCAGTGGGGATTGCGGTAGCGGTGGCCAGACAAAGGGAACCACCCTGTCGCTCAGCGGACAGTCACTCCAACAGCCGTCAGGGCAGGGTGCATCCCTCGGTGAAAGGTAACTTTTTAAAAGTACGACTTAAATGACAAACTAATACAAGGGTCCGGTCTCTAGTGAGCTATTAAAGTGTCAGATCAAGGGCAAAGGCCTGGAGAGAATGTCCTCGCCAATAAACACAAGAATGAAAGGTAATGATTGAGCTCATTTTTGTCTCGCAGGACCACCTCGCTCCATGTACCCCTCAGATCCCACCACCGAAGAGGAGAGGAAGAGGATGAGTGGGGAACAGATTGGTCTGACTTGCTTGGACAGAGAAAGGGATGCATATATCAGGTACGAGACGGCTGAGCCACAGTTTAATAAATGGACTGGAAAATGGACTGTGTTTTATATAGCACTTTCTCTAGTCCTCAACCACTCAAAGCGCTTATAAATCCCCCAACATAAATCCGTAACTATTACAAAAAGTCAATCTAGCGGTGGTAATTTGAATTTTCTTATCTGAGTCTCATCTTAATTCCAGGGATAATAAAGAAAGGGTTGAGTTTGCCAGAATCCATCCCTCCAACAGCTGTCACGGAGACCTCACCTCTCATCTCATGGTCCCGGGCGGGACCTCTTTACAGTCTGGCCAGTTAGGAGATCCTGCAGGACACTCAGCCCACCATCATTGGATGCCAAGAACTGGAAGCCCATCCCTCTGGATGACAGGACACTCTTATGGTAAAAATAACACTGATAGTTTTAAAACAACAAGAAGCGCAAGTTTACTTAAAAATATGATTATATGTTAAAGTGATTTACTTTCATTCATGGGTGGAAATATTCAGTGATCTCGATATGCAGCTGAATCAACATTATGCTAAGAATCACATATTCTCATAACACAAAATGCCCAGATGTTTTGACCCATATATGATGAAACTCGCGCTGGGAATTGCACCGCCATATCGTTGTAAAATGTCATATTTTGAGCATGTCTAAACCCTGGAATGGCGCCACTATGAATGTCAGAGTTTTTAATGCCTCAAACGTCACATTTCTGACATCAGCTTTGTTTTTTTTTTTATGCCTAACTAACAAAGAGTGATGATATGTAATAGATTTGTTCATACTCCAGCCAAATACAGAGTATTTTTATTTCAATATACGAAAAAGGAGCAGTTTCTGATACTTTATTTAATGTGTTTTATTATATAAGGACATTTTTATTTGTCCTGATATGCAGCATATCACACTAAATCTTCAAATTTAGCACAGTTAGCATGTTTAACTAGCTTCCATTAAAGTAGATGTGGTTCATTTTCATAGATTGAGATGGGTACATAAATCTTAACTGACCTCTTTTCTCTGTAGCAGGTATAGGTCACACAGCGCTGCACCAGAATCTCCCTCCAGGTTTCTCTGCAGCCATGCCAGGCCCTCTACAGCCAGTTCTGCCTCTGCCTCAGGACCCCTCTGCTCAGCTGGTGGTTCTTCCTACTGAACCTCCTACAACTCATCACCTGGGTAAGCTACAACCTAACGCTCTCCCCCTGTGCAAATATTTAAAAAAATCTTCAAATATACCGTGCACATTATTCTCCATGAATTAGAAATTCACTTTGTACCCCGGGTTTGCCTACCTCTGACTTGTAATGAACAAAGCCAGTGTTCATACAAAAATGATGAACATTCAAAGCTCCAATTTTGCACACAGCACTATTAAAAGTTCACTACCTGCCAGCCTCAGAACTTTCTAGAAAGAAGTCTTGGTACACTTCCATGCTGTATGTGCAGCCCCCTTATAGGGAAGGTATTAGAGTGTGAGGGCGAGGGGAAGATCACTTCTTACACTCTTTGTAGACACATTCAGTGAACAGGCTGTGACATTTAATTAGCTCACAATCTTCAACGGTACATTTCCTTCTGTGCTCCACAGGAGTTTCAGCCGAGGGAGGAAATGCATCCGCAAAAGCTTTCCCACAGGAAACATTTGCGTATCCAATTTTATGTCTCCGAACAAGGATTTTTAGTGTGTCTACGAGAAAGGGGATGGAAGGGAGAGTCAGGGGTGAGAGAATAGGGTTCCTGTACTGTTAGCCCACTACTTCCCAAGTGGAATCTGTCATAGCACCCACATGAAGTTGTAATGGTCCTTAAAGCCACATAATAAGAAGGGGTGTCCACCCACAAGCATGGGAACTTGGCCCCCTGTTGGACCCTTCTGCAGAGCCTTCTCTGTGGTTTGGCTGAGCAGGTGGGACTGCAGCAGTAAAAGTCCACGCTGAGTGCATTTCCAGCCCTGTGTTTTGACCTCTGATCAACTTTTGGACCATCATCATCTGTTCACATTTCATCACTGTCATGGATTTTTCCAGCATTCCAGCAAATTCTCAAGACACTTCTTAAAAGATACAGCTTTCTTTTCAGGAAGGAGGAGAGTGTGGGATTGTTGTGCCTGGGGAGATGTTGTTCTGTGATTTCAAAAATAATTTCTGAGGAGATCCGTCTATGTCGCGGCTGTAAAATGGGAATAGAATGATTTTTAAACGATCCATAATGGTTTTACTGTTTTGAAATGTGTGTGTGGGAGGTAGATAATGAGCGATATGGATAACACAATGCTGTATTGTAGTGTTGCACTCTTGTGTATGAATGCAAAGTGTGAGTGTGTTTTCCAAGGTAGCCCCCTCTGTCATATCCATCCTCCTTTTTCTCATTAGACGTGATGGAGCAGCCAGGGCTGTGGCCCCCTGTGTATGGCGCCCGGGGCCCACCCTCCCACATGCAGCATCCTGCTGTGTACTCCCGATCCCAGTTTCTACGGCAACAGGAGCTGTACGCTCTCCAGCAGCACCAACAGCTTCAGCATCAGCATCAACATCAGCACCAGAGCCACCAGTCACAACAACCACAGCCGCAGTCTCAAACCCAGCAGCAGCAGCAGCAACAACAGCAGCAGCAGCAGCAGCAGCACAGGGCTGCACATGGCATGGACATGCAACATCATGCAGCTCACAATTCTCAGGTGACTCTCAAAGGCAGCATATTCAAGAACAAAAAAAAATCTCAGTGTGAACAGAGTTTGCTTGAAGTAGATCTTCACAGATCTGCTGCTGTAAAAAAAAAGCAAAAATCAAGTCTGTGAGGCATGAGTCAGCTAAAATCTTCTCATTAGCATTCGGTCTATTTTTGTCCCTCTAATATTTTCTGGGATACGCTGAGTTTCTCTCATGGATAAAGCGAATCTCTGAATATAGGCTGCAAAGCAAGTAGACTGTAAAGTGAAAGAGAAGTTTGAGAGGAGTTTATTTGTACAAAGATCACTTCAGAAATATTAAGTATCTGATGTATTGCACCATTTAGTCTATGATTATCATTACAATATCCTACCACATTTGTTTATTTATTCACTTTAATTTACTATATGTATATAAATATTTTTATGTATATATTATAAATGTACTTATTATTTTACTATTTATTTACCCACTTATTTTTTTTTATTTTATTTTGTTTTATTTATTTTTATTTCCACTATTATTTTTTTCTCTCTCTCCTTTTTTCTTGCATTTTTAGTATCATAATAATATTATTTTTGTAATAATTGTTATGTAATAGTGCCTACCTTTTCTTCTCTCACTCTCTTTTCAATAATCATCATAATTTAAAAAAGAGGAGACAATTCACACCCACAAATACACACACTTTTTTAACACACATAAAAACACCCACCCACCCACACTCTAAACACAGCCTTGCCACACCTGCTAAATGTTTCTAAATGTTATGTGTCCTTGCTATACGAGTCACTTTGTCTTGTCTCCGTTGTCGGTTTGTACTGTTTATATGTTGTCAACCACCTGTCATGTGCTGTCTTGCATCACCTAATAAAAAAAATGTACAGAGATCATAATTAACTTTTTAAACTAATAATTAACTATTTCTCATTCTGATGCCACAGATGCAGAAGAGGCAGGATGAGCCCTCGGTTCAACTAGAAGAACTCATATCAGAACCAAGAACTCCTAAACCGGCCAAGCCCTACTCTTACAACCCACCTCAGAGGAATACCTCCCCCGCAGGAGCCTGCACTGCTCACCTGTCTCCTTGTTGCCAGTCCCCATCACTACGACCACATCCTAAAAGCACGCCGTCTACGCCCTGCCCTGCTCCCAGCCCTGCTGCAGCAGCCCCTCACTCACCGGTCATCAGCCCGGCCCCACCGCAAATGCCTAAAGGGAATGACGCCCAGGACAAGAGAGTAGAGGGACAGCCTCCTCAGGATTACCCGGAGTCTCTGGAACCTGGTAAGCGCGAGCAGCGTCCCTCATCCACGAGGAAACCGGTTCTTAAAACTCACTTAAGCAGATTTTTAGAAGAGTTTGACATTCAGCAGAGTTTTTTCTGCTTTATGTTTTTAGCTAAGAACAAAATCTAACTCTTAAGAGTGCTGATAATGCACACTGAGTGCTAATATGTCTGTGCAATATAGACAGGTCTAAATAAGTACAGTGGCCGAGAACTGCCACTGCTGCAAATAAAAAAGAATGCAAAAAAAAAAACGAAACCAAAGCCCGCTGTAAAAAAAAAAAAAAAAAAACAGTGCAGATTTCAAAGAAAAGCCACAACGGGAGTTAACAATGCAAAAAAAAGTGGCGATGCAAAAAAATAAAAATAAAAACATACTGCGAAAGTAAAAGGATGCAAATACAAAAAGCCACAATGGAGGTGAGTTGCCGGAGACCAATAATAAAAAAAAAGGAAGGGGTCTGCATACTTATTTATATGAGTAAAGCAACTGAACTGTAAAGCTACTCTCCTCTTGTGGGTGGTCTTTTGGGGTGTAGTGGGTTTTCCCCCATGTTAGCCAAAGCTAACACTACACCGGCATCCTCCAGTTCAACTTTATATCGACTCAGGGGCTACATGGTCTGACCAAATACACATTGAAAAATACACATAGTGGAATTAAACAATAACTTTTCCACTTACTTCATTGCTCGTCTTCTCGCAGTCGTCTTCTGTGCCTAGATCGTAAAACACCGGTGCAATATCATCATTGGTCCCCGGCAGCTCACTTCCGTTGTGTGTTTTTTTTTATTTGCATCCTTTTATTTTCAGTTTTTTTTGCGTCGTTCACTTCCGTAGTAGCTTTTTTTTTTTTTAATCTGCGTTGTTTCCTCTTTTATTTGCAGCGGGCTTTGGTTTCGTTTTTTTATTTTCATCAGTAACTTCTGTTGTGTCTTCTTTTTTTGCACACTTTTTTATTTGCAGTGGCGGTTTTCAGCCACCGTAAATAAGGATACAATGAAGGCCAAATTTAAACAATATATGTTAAAAAGCTGTCCTGCTGCTACCCTCTTACTCTGGTTTCAGACATTAAAAACTAGAGTATAAAAATCATAAATCTTGCCGCTGATGGTCGTGTTTGCTTTTTTATCTTATAAAAAAGGATCAGTATGAACTCAAATCTACTTCATAAACGTCATAAAAACCCTCATTGGAGCTTTAACTGTCCTATTATGTCATTTTTAAAAGGAAGAGTTGAGTTATGTTTAGAGATCTCTCTTCTGTCTCGTTAAATTTCCCTCTCAGATGTCAGATCAGACTTCTGTATCTGGCTTCATCCATCCTGATAACGGCATTAAGACACTGCAGCCTTCTCCGGGCAAACGATATCATCAAACGCACAGCACATGTTTGTTTAAATTTATCCACTTATGAAGCAACTAAATCCAATAAATCAGACCATTTGTGCTTTACTTCCAGCCGCAACATGACAAGATAAGTCAGGACCAGTTTTTATTTGAATCTGTGCTCATATATTATGTGCCTTTATTCCCCCATTCAGTCAAGTTCATGAAACTGCCTCAGACTTGGAAACTTTTCAAGAACAAATCAAAGTTTTACATTAAGATGTGAGCGAATGAAACCCAAATCTCCTGCTGCTTTCGGTGCATCTGATGCCGCGTTGAGTAATTCCAGGTAATAACACGACATTGAACGTTATACCCAATGTTAATTACAAAAGCCACTCCGGTAATGATCATTTTTCTGCCGGTGGTAATGTGTGTTGGCAAGCCCCTGATTGACTGAACAACTCAAAGCTGCAGAAAAACTGGCTGCTAGCACTGTTACCGTGGTAATGACTGAGAAACACCTCAATAGCATCCCTCGCCTCTCCTCCACCCCCACAGGCCTCACACTCTCTTCATCATCATTAATGTCTGGCTAACGGCCACCGAGCGCCAGAGAAATCGTGTCAGGTGCTCTGATAAACCAAAGGCCTGGCCCACTTCAAAAAAAACCTCTTACACAAGGTTGCATGTGGTCCTTTTTTTCCTCTTGCTAGTTTATCAAGGCAGGGTTTTTCCTTTCCTTGTTTTTGCCCCTTTTGACCTCAAGGGTGTCTGTGGGGTTCCCCTCAGAGTGGGCATGATGGATTAGGATTTTTCGCTTGAGATATTTAGCCAGAAACTCAAACAGATTAATTTAGCCATAACACCATATTTGTGTTCCTCCGCAGATTTACCTCCTGGTTATACCTACCCTGCTATGACCATGGGCTACAGGAGCGGACCCTCCCCCCAGGATGTTCGACTGGCTGAGCCGGCCGACCTGGAAGCTGTCCAAGTGGAGCCTGCTGAGCACGCTCCCCAATCTCTCTCTAACCTCGGGGAGGGGCTTGAATGCCAAGCGGTGGTCAGGCCCCTCCCAGAGCCACTTCCACCCAAGGAGGTGGAACAGGCAGAGGAGGAAAGAGTTGTTGAGAGAGTCCTGGAACAGAGGGAGGAGGTTGAGGGAGCAGCGGTGACAGCAGCCAGCTATGTGCCTGGAGAGAAGGAGGTGGAGGATCAGGGGCCTGCTGAGGAAGAGGTCCTGGTTTGCCCCCCTGCAGAGAGCCCGGTGTGCGAGGCCGCTTCCTGTCCTGTACCCCTCTCAACAGAGGAGCTGGAAAGGCCAGAGGCTGTCATCACCCTGGAGGAGGAAGATGATGATGAGGCGGTGGGTGAGGAGAGCCAGGTGGAGCCTGCTCAAAAGGTCAACATGCCTGGAGAGCAGGAGCCAGAGCTGCCCACCATCATCGAGCTTGACCCTGCCTCCCCTGCAGCCCCTGAGCTGCAGTCTCCAGCCCAGGAAGAAGCAAAGGACAGCAAGCAGCAGCAGGAGAACGAGACGTGCCCCGACGATGCCTCAGAGGATTTCGTGTGTCTTTCTCCGGCTTCTACTTCTGCCCCTGCGAGCCCGAGCCAGACAACTGTTGCTGTGCCCTACAAACCTCTTGTGCCCTGCTACTGGAGTCTGGAGCTGCTGATCGCCGCAGCGTTCTGCACAGATGTGCCGCCCTTTCCCTTGTTTCCCTTTAGCGCCCCGTTAGCCGCTCCGTCACCGCCTAACCCCCACCAGGGTATGGAGCTTCTCAGTGAGCTGGCGGATCTGGAGCTACAACAGCAGAAACGCACCTGTGGGAAAAGCCAGGGTGAGGGACAGTCAATCTTCGACGACTCAGACACATTAACATACTTATTGAAACACACTTATATCAGCAAAATGCACTTCTCCGCGGTAGTTTCCCTCAGTCCATCGAGACAAACTCCCACTCCCCCCTCAGGCCTAGCCTCCGTCGCTCTGTGTTCCCTCCAAGATACTCTTCTCTTCCTGCTGGTCCTCAGGGTCTCTGGTGGATTCTAACATGTCCCCAGAGGAGTCGTCTGCAAGCCTGCTCGCCGTTTCTCTTCTTTGGTGTGTTAAAGGCACTTTTATTTTTCTAAAAGGCTGTTCTAACGATGCAGAGGCCTCAGGAGAGGGAGAAGAAGCAGGAGGACAGGGCTGAACCGCTAGTGAGGGGTGTACACCTCCCTTTCTCGCTCCCTCTCTTTCCCTTCCAGCTTTCCTTTGGGAGCCGTGTCTCTGTCTCTCCATCCTGCCACTGTTTGATCCACACGTGTGGAGGAATGCACACACACACACAGTCCCAAATACACTCGCTGTAACAAAAAGAAAAAGGCAGAAACCAATTGACTCCCCTCTCTCACACACACGTTACTTAAAGTTTGTGTGTAATCGCAAAAGCAGTCGATGTTTTCAGCACCCTGGAGCATTGCCTGGCTAATTAGACCCCATTGTTTTAAAGTGCCTTTAAAAGCTTCCTTGTTTTTCAAAGCGCCATGTGTTTTTTTTTTTTTTGTTTTTTTTTTTTATTCATGCAAAAGGATGTTTTGTGTTTACCACAGCATCCTAATGCATTTAACTGCTCCCAAAAGAGGTTTCTATAAAAAGGGTATCATCAACTGATTTCAGAGTCAGTGATGTTGTCTTTGTGATGTGATCCTGTTGACAGCCCAGGGAGGTGGCTTATGTCAAGTCACAACAATTGTCTTTACCAAAACAAGTGCTAAACACGAGGAAAAGCATCAGCCTTCTAGTCGACTCGTGAAAAGAAGGGAGTGAAATTCATTTTTACTTTGTCTCTATGTCATACCTGCCAACATTTGGGTTATAAATCTGGGAGACTTTTGAGGCGTGCGCCGGGCAGTTTTGGGGTTCCCTTGTAGAGGTGGATATGAGTAAATTATGAGATTTGTAATTAAATTGCTCATCCAAATAAGTGAAGCTTCACACTTTTTTGTTTTGTTTCAACAATAACAAATGGTAATAAAAAAATAATAGCTGCGATATGCCTTGAACTTATTAAGTCCACTAATATTGGTGTTAAAGACCTCATATATTTTACATGCTCTCCCATATGAGGCTCTCTGAACATCCGTGCGAACAATACAGCGCTCTTTTGTCTGAGGCTGCCCTGAACGCATCACTCCAAGACGGGCAAGACTATCAACGTGAATATTATGTCTCGAGTTTGTTTCCATTTTGTGTTCATTTTGCAACAAACACGGCTTAAATATAGTTTACAGCCTAAACCGATCTGAATCATCCCAAATTGTGAAGTAAAAGTATTAATCCAGTGTCTGTCAATCTCAGTAGAAACTCAACTCAACTCAAACTTTATTTATAGAGCACTTCAAAAACAACCGAAGCTGACCAAAGTGCTGTACGGGTCAATAAGACACAGTGAAATACATAAAACAGACAGTAAACAATATGATCAAAAACACAGAATACATGATTAAAATACAGCAAAGTAAACACAAGACAATCTTGGAAACTTTGGACAAATATAGTGATCGATTCATGCAAAACTATACGGGAGATTCCCAGGAGAAATGACAATATGGGAGGTGGGCGGGAGATAGGTCTGAAATACAGGAGAGTCCCTGGAAAAACCCGAGTGTTGGCAGGTATGCTCTACATCCAGATACTCAGGCCCTCGTTCAGTCTGTGCAACAGGCAGGAAGAGATATATATGAAGGGCTTCTGTCCAGATGGCCCCTGACAAAGCAGCATCTGTTGAGTCCACATTGATGCGACCTCTGAAACAATATACAGAAGCTTTCTAATGCCGGCCTAGCATGCCAAAGCTACCAGTATATCATTCTTTGTCAGTGGACAAATAAAGACACGGCTGAAAACAGGATGCAAGTGCAGGTTCGAGTGCCGAATGAAGCTCTGAAATGGACAAAATCTTTCGCGTTCACGTTCACACTTTTAAGATCAGGAGGTCACAAACAAAATATGAAATCAATGTTTTATTTCTGTTGTCCTGTAACAGAAGACGAGCTGCTGATGTTTGACCTCCAGAGCCTCGCCACTCTAGCCACGGCACGTGCGCTGGAGATGGGATCGCAGGACAGCAGCGGTGTGAGTTCAGGGCGACATTTCCCGGCCCGCAGGATCCTCAATTTACGCAGGAAATGCAGCTGGACGCCCCGCAATGAACCAGTAAGACTGCGCCGATGTTTGATAATGACGAATGGGTGACTTTGTTGAAACTTTTGAGGTAACTTCAACGATGTAAATGATAACCGAGAGACTGTTCCTCAGGTGTGTCCTGCCAAAGGTACCATGGAAACAATGGATGGGGCTGAGCTTGCAATGCGTATGAAGTTGGCCGAGCTGCAGCGTCGCTACAAAGAGAAACAAAAGGAGCTTGCCAAACTTCAGAGGAAGACTGATCATCAGTGAGTGCGACCTTATTCTCCTTCCCCTTGTGGCCACTTTTTTGTCCATGTTCACACAGCAGGCACAAGTGACCCAAATCTAAGCTTTTGCACATGTGTGACTCCGATCGGATTTTCATGACAGTGTGAAGCGGATCTTTCCAGATCAGACTTGGACCACCTTTACAGTGTGATCTGCACTCAGACCTTCAAGATAAGATAAGATAAGGTGTTCTATTAATAGTCCCACAAGGGGGAAATTCCAAATTACAGGAGCATGAATACAGATACAAAAAGAGAAATTAAAGGATTAAGAAACTGTAACTGCAGTCTGGACAGTCAGGTTGGAAAGAGTGTGACTTTTATATCATTCAAACTTGACAGTTCTATGCAGGAGTCACTAAAAACAAAGAAGATGAGGGTGGTTGAGGCCCCACTGGCCTAGCGGTCTACATGCAGTGTGAACAAAGCCTGTGTTTCAAAAGCAAAAAAAACAATTTGTCTCAGAGTTTTTTTTTTTTCCAGGTTTTGATCACCGTGTGTAAGATATGTGTAGCGTCTCTGTCTGCGTGCGTGTTTACATCTGCTTGTGTATGCAGGAAGGAGGAAACACCTCGCAGCCCGGCCCGACGAGGACCCGGGCGGCCAAGGAAGCGGAAACCCACCCTCACCACAGGTCCAGTGTCCTCATCTGAGGGCCAAAGAAAAGTCAAGTGAGTACCGCTCGGCTAATCTCCGCTGGCTGGCTACGGTCCAGTCCTGCCTGATAAGCCCCTTTGTATCACTGGCATACAGGGACGGCCTCTCATTGGCATAAACAGGAAATGGGAGAACACAGCTGAACCATTCAAGAAAGTCCTCCTGAGTCCTCTGCTAATTGAATCAACGCTGGCATTAATTGTATAACAGCATAAACAGTGTCACTTTTGTGTACGTCTGCTGGTCCAGAATATTTATGTATCCTTGATATATGGACCACACATACCTTGAAAACCGCTCATGCCCCTCATTAGGCTGTTACGCAGCTAATCTTAAACCTCAGTGGCATTACAGTTGTGCATGTTTGGCTTAGCTGTGGCGGGGTAGCAGGGGGAGCTGCCTGCAAGCTGGGGAGGGAGAGGAGAGGGGTGGATGACAGGCAGAGGATGTAATTAGAGTACTGTGAATTCTCCTGTAATCTGTCCCAGCAGCAGGAATGTGACACACCACAGTCCAATGGGGTCACCAGGGGTCCAAAGGATAACATGGTGGTCAGACAGTGTGGGCGCTCCGAGATAAGCTGACATTTAGAGCTCAATGTCCACACGTGTGTGTGTGTGTGTGTGTGTGTGTGTGTGTGTGTGTGTGTGTGTGTGTGTGTGTGTGTGTGTGTGTGTGTGTGTGTGTGTGAGGGACAAAAAATTATTAGAGTTGATCACAGTGGGATAAAAATAAATTTTAAAAAATGGACCCTAAATTTTTCTCAATGTATTGATGACATTTACAAATTTTGCAATCTTCAGCTTCTTTAGTCGAAGGATTATCGTAGCTGTTTGGTAGCGGTGGCAAAACTGATAGACCAAAAGGTTTAGGGGATAAAGGGATGCCGTCAGGCTTCAATTAGCCTTGTCATCAGGGTTTGGAGAGGCTTAGAGCACGAAATGCCAACTTGCAGCATACTCTCCCTCTCTCTCTTGCCATCTTCTCTTCTTCCTCCTCTTCTCGCTGTAGTTTCTGGGCAGCGGGCCACATTGTTCCCAGCTAACCCTCCGTGATTTCACCTTCCACCCATGTAACCCTGCCCCCTTCGCCCGGCCAAGCCCCGTCGGAATAGGGATGCTGATGCTGGGTGACAATGACACCCAAAATGAAAGGGTAGCAGCCAGGACCCTACAGCAAAACACCGGGGAGGAAGAGTGGGTGGGGGTCTACTCTGTCTCTGTTATGTTAGGACTTCAGCCACAGGTCTAGCGCTCTTATTTTCCTTCAAAGCAGCGAGGGTGAGCTCGCTCGTTTCTGCAGCGAGGAGCGCGCAAGAAAGCGGACGCCTTGGGACTGATTAGCCCCATGTTGTGTTACAAGGCGGGATTATGTAAAAGCATGTGCTGCACCTGTCACTCATGCCACTACAAGAAGCTGATGCTTGGGGACTGTGATGGAGGGCAGTGGGTCAGTGGAGTAACAACCCCAACTTTAGGTGTTTTTCTTTCTCCACCTCAAACTGCTTGAGCCTCCAGGAGTGTGTGAGCGATAAATTCATGCATCTGTGCAATTAGAACTGGATGCAGCTGTGTGCACATGAGCATCTACGCAGGCATTGTTTGTTTTTTGTGCGTGCCTGTTATTCCTGTGGGTAGAGCGCTGGAGTCCTTTGTGGTGCTGCTTTGATTGGGGGGAAGGCTGGAGAGAACTGCCGCTCGCCAGAAAACCCTGCTAATCAATTCTGTTTAATTAGTCACTGTATGCTCAGCCCCAACAGCCCCCCACAAAGGGGAGGGACTCTGTCATATTGTGTTTGTCAGCGGCGGAAGGCAAGCTGTGGCGGGATGTGCCTCACAGGGACAACTCACACTCCACCGCCACCTCTGTCACTCTCCTGTCAGTCAGCGGGCAGACAGTCCTACTGCCCGACAATCGCCTTCATTCTTCTCTCCGCTGTGAGAGATGCATGCTGACACACTCTGATTATGAGATTTACACACACAACCGAGGCCCGCGCAAAAACTGTGTGTACTTGTGTCATGCAGTGTTAATTTTGACAAGAAGTTTGAATTCAGTTTTTGTCATTTTCAGAATATTGCAGTTTTAGTAGAATATTGCAGATTTAGTCAGTGGGTCTTTTTTTTATTTTTTATTGTCTCATGAGTCAGTGCTCATTTTCGCCTAATTTGAATTGATGTCGTAGTCATAATTTCTCAGACAGTTTTGATAGTTTTAAAAGAAAGATATTCCTCCTTGTCAAAATTCAAGCAGGAATAAAACATACTTTTCTGTGTTTGGTCATCTTTGCTGAGAACGTACATGTTATGAATAGAGCAATAAGTTTTTCTACAAACCAACTTCTGTGAACATGGATTTAGAGAGATGACATTTATTTGCGTCCTTGGATCATAATACATCGCAAATACTCAGACGCTCTGTGGCGTTTCTTTTCTTCGTCTTGTATTATTGGCGCTCCACCATACATTTATGTCTGAGCTATACATCCGTCCACCCCTAACTAGAGCTGTAGCCCCTAATTAAACCCACTGAGCATTTTTTGGGTCTAAAACAGGTCTAATAGACGTCTAAATGTAGCCGAGAAGACTGGACTAAAATCAGGCGACTACAGGTCTAAAAATGAACGTTTTTCAGGCGTCTAAATCTGGGCTATATCTATATATCTAAAAATACACAGAATCTAGACGGTTGAAATTAGGTCTAAAACAAACTGTATGACTAATAGCTGTCTATTGCTCAGTGGGAAGATGATTACTATATGCTTATAAACAAGCAAGGACGACCAATAATATCTGATTTTGATTTAGAAAGTGTTGGCAAACTTGTGTGTCTGGTTAGCTTGACAGGCTAGCATTAGCGAGCTAACATTAGCTACTCAGCAAACCCTTTAAAACTGTTTACCAGCAGACTCTGTAATCCTGTATTCAGCTGTGTTTAATTATCGCAATTCCGACTTTATTCCTCACTTTTTTAACCTTTGGGGTAGTCAGCCAGTGGGAAATTAAATTATTTTAATAACCAGCTAATTAGCCACTATGGGATCCCTGGTGTCAGTGTAACAAAAAGGCGTCCATAAGTCATTTTTAAAGATGCCAGCAGTAGCTTTTTACAGCTTTTGATAAGCAAGCCACTAGCCTGCTCGCTCTTTTTGCCTTAGACTTACTTACCTTAGGAAAACCATTCAATGAGAATGATAAAGATGTTATTTTTCTATGCTGGCTAAATGAAGACGTGCTCGCACTTTTAATTCCAAATAGGAACTCTCATAAAAAAGTAAAATGAACTTTATGTACTCCCTGTTTGAATCTGTGCTCACTCTGTAAATCTAACTGATTTCCTAGACAGCAGGCACACTAGGAAAGGGTAAGTTAATCTTTTGTTTGAGCGTGGCCTGGCTCATGTTGGCGTGGTCCACGGGCAAGCTTCCAGAGGGAAATTCAAGGGCATTGCCTGTGATGCTGTTCCGCGTAAAGTGTGCCACAGTTATATGAAAATGCGGCTGCAAGGCTATGATATTCACCGAGAACAACGGAGCCGCATACAAATGCAATGCCTTCCAACCATTTACTGTATCTTTCAAAGCTTTGCAGTGCTTCAAGGGCTGCAGAGACACTCCCTAGATACAGCGTTAAGGCTTCTTAGGCCACACTGCCCTCAAACAATCCCAGGTTTCTTGTTAGATCCCATTTTTCAAGTGTGTGGTTCAGACAGTGGGCTCTCCGTGTCCTTTTTTGTCATTCTGTTCATCAGACAGAGAAAAGGGAGTTATCGGATCCCACAGTGAGGTGACTCAACTCTGTTTTCCCCCTTGTGATGTCCTACCCCTTCTTTTTCTTTTAAACTACCGCTGTTCCCCTCTAATGAATGCCTCTCCCTTGTTTTGACTGGCAGGTCGATGGGGGCGGGGCTTGCTCTCTCGCCCGAGGACCTGGAAGGGGGCGGGGACAGCCAGAGAAGGAAGAAGAGGCTGTCCAGTCGAGGCTTTGAGCGACTCAGCAGCACACAGGTCAGGGTCCCCTTGTCCTCCTCTCTTTTGTCCTCTATGCAACTAGAAATAAAAGAGGCCACTCTTTGTTTCTCTGCGTTTGATATATTCCTTTGTTGCACACCATTTCTAATTAGGTGCTACCCTCAGGAGTCAAATCCTCTGCTCTCCATATTAATATCTTTTTTTATTGGGGCTTCTACCGTTTCTTTTCTTCTCTGTATGTGAGCAAATGAGAGCCCTCTCCCTCTGACGTTCAGATGCTTTCACGGCTGCTGTGACCGGGAGTGTAACCGTCTCTCTCATCTCTCTCTGTTGCAGCAGATAAAAGCACAGGGCTGCAGAAAAAGCAGTCTTCACAGCATGCTCAGCTCCAAGCTGGCCAGTGATGTGACTCAGCTCAAACAGAAAGCCCATGGTAAAAAGAATCTCTCAGGGACAGGCTCCAGGGACAAGGAGCTTTCGCCCTGCAGCTCTAACCCCAAGCATAGGCACAGAAGCCAGGGCACCAGCAAAGCTGAGTCCAGGCTGGAGTCTGGAGGACTAAGTGACACAGGTAGACGATGAAGATCATGGTACTGAAAACACCTTTTTTTAGTGCTCCAACAATCCCTGACAGATTTTTGAATTGTGATTTTTCTCAGCAGCCAGCGCTGACAGTGGAACCCAGGAGAGCTGGACAGGACTGGTGCGCCGCGGACGTAAAAAGGGATCCGACTCCCTTACGCAGTGTTCCTCTCGTCTGAGCCAGTCTAGATCAAGAGTTCTCCGGGGCCAGAGACAGGACACAATGGAGGAGGGGGAGAGCTCTCCTGCAGAGAGTGACTCCTCTGATCAAGGTGAGTCGGTGAAAACAGAGAGCTGGTTATTGAATGACACAAAGTGGCACAGTAAGAGGTTTGATAAATCAGCAGCAGCAACCCAATATTGTTCAGTAGCAGATGTGATTCCTAGTCTTGGCTGAGGACTCCTAATGGCTTGGCATGAGTACGTATACATGTGCCACACTATCCTGTTCATAATCAGGTGTTTAAAATGCGAAGGTTATATCATGCCTGTGAAAACATACAGAAATCTGGATAAGGCGAGTGTTCCAAACCTTGGTATGCTACTCGGACCACTGCAATAGAAGTCAGAATGATGTGTTGAAATGCGACGATCAAGGACTTAATCGGTGCATTTCCAAAACTGCAATTCGTGTTGGGCACCTGTGGTCTACAGTGGACCAAGGAAGGAAAACCAAAGAGGAAGCAACAGGGTCACAGATGCCAAAGGGTAGCAAAAGCTGGCCCATTTTGAGCTCAAAGTGCCGAAAAAGTTCATGCCAGTTCTTCTTGAAAAGTGTCAGAAAACACAGCGCATCAGAGTTCAGTGTGTAGATGATAGTACCCCAGCTGGTATCCCAGTCCTCAAGTCTTACTGATCCATGGAGGCCCCACTTCACAACTCTAGGACCCTCCAGGATGAGAAGTATTGGTTCCCGTCCTTCTTTGTTTGGAGCTCCCCCTACAGGCATCCTACCAAAGACCCTCACAGATAAAAAGTGATGAATTACTGTCAAAATCTTGCCAGTAGAAGCAGATAATTTTCTAAGCTGTGTAGTTGAATTATACACAATAAACAACCCCTAACATACTTCATATTTAAGATTACACCAACCCCCTTTAGATGCCAGTTTGAGTCCACTACGCCGTTTGTTAACTCGTTAATCACTTTAAAAGTAATCAGAGGTAAGTTAATACGTGTTGATGAATGTCAGGGGTGTGCGGGGACATTTGACACCTCAGTCATCGGTCTTGTCGGCCCGGTCTGCGCTGGATATGCCGCCACAGCTGTGGACACTTGCCTGTGAGCGGATCTGACAGCGCTGGAGACTTGCAGACTGGGTCAAAGAGCTGTTTGAGAAAGCGGAGTGACAACACACACATAAACTCACTCCTACACTCTATTCCACAGCAAGCCTGTTGCATGTGGGTTAACACCAGGAAATACCACAGAGGCAAGGCACTTCATATATAATTTCTATGAACAGCAAGTGTTTACTTAAATGCTAACGAAGTGCCTGTGAAATGAAGAGGTTAAGCAAAACGACTGTTTGGTATTAACGTACTTTCAAGGTGGATTTGATAAGCTGCATAAGTTCATGAAGGTGTCCAATAAGAGCCGCTCTGTCTGTTTTATTCTTCTCTAACTTCATTAGACGATGAAGAGGAGGAAGGCAGTTATGATACAGATGAAGGTCAAGACTACAGAGCCCAACCCTCCAGAGATGTCACTTCTAGCTCCTCCATGACAGGTCCAAGTCCCTCATCAGTCGTAAAGCTGGAGGCCAATCAAAAAGCCAGGAACAAGAAACAGAGACAGGAGCTTTATGGTAAGACTATCCTCTGAAAGCGATTCATAAGTCAACAAAGCTGCCCCACATGTTTCATGGGAAGCATCTGTTTTGCGTTTCTACTCCTGGCTTGTTAGCTCGGCTCTAAATCTGTTTCTCTAATTGAACCGCACAGGCTCCCAGAGTCTGTCTGGAGCAGAGGGGGAGGTGAAAGTCAGAAAGAAGCCCCCCTGTAGGCTGGGCCTGGCCACTGCAGTCAAGAACCATCATGAAGATTACCGGCCTGAAGGGGTGAGAAGGCCATGTGTGCCCAGGTCCAAGGAGCCTCGGTGGGGTAGCCTTGGGACTAGAGGCAATCGCTACCGGAGGAGCATGGGATTGGCTACCTTCCCGACGACCACTGAGAGGCTAAAGAGGGCGACCCGCAAGAGCACTATGCTGAGGGGAGCGATCAATAAGGTTAGCAGAAAGAGTTTATCCGGAAGTTTCAAACTGCTGACACAGTCACAAAATATACTCCACTGTTTAAGTCAGGACTGTCCCCATATCAGGTTTTTGCTTTGTGATTATTGTGGCCATGAAATGATAACGACGATACCATAGTATGAATGCTAATTGAGTACAGGCAAGACCAGGATGGAGCAGCTCATTAATTCTGGATTCCATAAAGAAGCATCTACAAAAATGCTTTTAATATCAGTCAGTAGCTATGAGTTATTGATGACATTTGGTAATATAACGATATTAATGTGTTTTGTCATGTCTCTGTAGTCAACATTTTAAGTTTTTTGAGCAGCCCGCTCTTTCTGACTGTAAACAAGGTTTGCTTTTTTTTCTCCTGCTTTGCAAAATTACGCTTTTATTTTGAAGTCCATCACTTCCTGTAGATCGTAAGTTGCAGAAATGAATGAAAAAAGTAAAATAAACCGTCAGAAAGTATAAATGTTCAACCGGTTTGTAACATAAAAGGGCGTAACCTTTAATGTTGTTTTTTGGAATCACTATAAATCTTAAAATTTCAGTGTTTCATCATCTTTCTTTCAGGCTAGCTAGCTAGCTAGCTCACTGGCAGCCTGCTGCTTCTTCTTCGTTTCATTCCTGATCTGTTGCGAAAGCCGTGGTTTGGTTTCTTTAGCAGGAATCATACTCTCGTTTTGCTTTTCAAAAACAGTCCAGGGTCTTTATTGTTATCCAGAAATGTCAGATACTTTTTTTTGCTGTTGATGTCATTGTGAAGACGAATCACAGAGTCTCTTGTCATATTGTTTGCCATGACAGAGGAGAGGCTGCTGGTCAGTTGGAGCACCGTCTTCACAAGTTGAGGAGAACAGCAGGGGGAGAAGGAGCAATGATCAGCAGGTACCAGTCACAGAAAATAAAAAAAACTAAAAACTAAAAAATCTGCCTTTCTTCACTCGGTTACACAGTTACATCCAAACCATGAAACAGAATCTAATTCTACAGAAACGGCACCCTTCACACGTTCTTTTAACAATCCTGGAGATGCCTTACTGTCCCAGATTTCTCACCCTCAGGACCGTTACTGTAGAACTATTAAAAGTACTTAGCACATTGCACACAGCCCAACCTCCTGCTGAGTAATCTTAAGGGAGGCGAGGATGGGAGATGAGATGTGGGAATGGGGGGGCTCACACCTTCTGCTGTGACTGAGTGAAAATGTTAAGAGTAAAAATTTCACTGATAGGAGACGGTAGAGACAATGCGATGTCCCCCGCAGTTAACTGCTCCTTTGAATAGCATGCTTAACAATTTCCTCCTTTCTCTATCACACCTTCTATCTCCAAGTTTACTTTTCTAATCCATCCGTACATCCGTTCACCCCTCTTGATTGCGCCTTCTGTTATATCCAGTCAAAAGGACGAGCGGTGAGCCGGCTGCTGGAGAGCTTTGCTGCTGATGAGGGCTTTCAGATGGATGGGAGCAGCTTCTCAGAGGAGGAGGAGGACAGCAAGCGCTCATACAACAGCAAGAGTCCTGAAGGTAATGATTGATTGCAGATGAGCCAACTGTACGCCACAAGATACTGCTAAAAGGATCTGTATCGTACTGTTTATTGGAAGGTCCAAGCAGCGGTCTCTGGTTTTGACAAATAAAGTCAATGCAGAAGTCATAAAAAACTGCAGTTCCTTAAGTGTCCAATAGAGGCTGGCTCTAAAATCAAAGAATCCCAATCAGAGATCTCATTGTAGACTTGTATCTAAACTAAAATATTCTTACAGCGTACTTATTTTGCAAGGTAAATTTGCGTGCATCGCTTTACATGAAGACGCAGCAGAAGCAGAAATTTTCCTATCTTAAGTAACGGGTGTAAAAGGGACTTATGGTTCTTGATAACTGTCAAGTAGAGAAGTTTCATTTCCATGTGGATGCTCGCGATAATATCAGTCATGTTGAAATAATCAATTGTAATTTGTGTTTCCTTTTTTTTTTTTACACAGCTCCAAACTGCGTCCTGACCAAAGAACTATTGACCGACGGCCTGAAGGTGCTAATCTCCAAGGAGGACGAGCTTCTGTATGCTGCAAGGGTCCACACTCTTGAGATCCCAGACATGTAAGCAGCATGCAGCGGTTGTAGTAATCAGTTTATGTCTTTTTAATTATTTGTTGTTTGCACATTTTTGTCTCTTATAGTTAGTCCGCACTTATGTAGTTAAATCAGTGGATAACCCTGATGGCTGTGCATTCATTCTGATATCAACCAACCAGAGCAGAAAACATGCCAAGAAGATTGACCAGGCTGAAACGTCAAGATTATGGAAATAGCCATTTAAATGAGAGAACTATAAGTTAACACCAGCATACAAATTTAGCCCCTTTTTATCTCTATTAACGTCTATTCGGGTCTATTTTTCTCACATTATCATCCCACATCGTCCTATGTCAGGCTCCAAGTATCGATACAACTTTGACTTTTGGGCTTCTGCATGATAAAGACTCTATAACAGCAGCAGAGTGGGAGTAACACATGACATGAGAGTCAAGAAAAGACAATACAAGCTTCTGGAAATAGACTCCTCCATCTCTACCTCTGGTGTGCTCTTTTTTTTTTTTTCAGCTTCAGCATTGTTATTGACGGTGAAAGAGGAAACCGCCCAAGGATCTATTCATTGGAGCAACTGCTACAAGAGGCTGTAAGTTTACCCTGAATCAGTGGAAAAATTTCCTCCTGTCTTGGTCACTCACACCTTTGCTTTCATATGCTACATGTTTTTCACCAACTTTGCCCTTCAGTCATTCTTCAGCTCTGCTGGTCCCTTTGCTTTCTCCCTTTCAACCTGCATGGATTGTCCCTCAGGGTCAATGAGGCCATCTAAACCTCTTACGTGAATATGAACATATGGGAGGCGGGACCTTCGGGGGTTTATGTGTATCGGTGTCTCACAATGTCCGTTAAACCTTGCTCTGTGTGTGTCTGTGTGTGTGTGTGTGTGTGTGTGTGTGTGTGTGTGTGTGTGTGTGTGTGTGTGTGTGTGTGTGTGTGTGTGTGTGTGTGCGTGGATGGGTGGGTGGGATAATCCGACAGACACCTGCATCCATTCACGCTTTTGGAGTTTGTATAGGGGATGACTTTACAGGGCAGCTGTTACCATGGTAACAGATTTGTTTACAGGCACAGATAGACCAGATAGTGCGAAGAACAGCTAATGAAATATCTTTTTTTACAGTTAAACACTCATCTTGTCAGATTTTCTCACTGAACAGAATTTTTAAGGTTTTGATTTAAGGAGGTCACTAAATCCTTTTGGTTTGTTTGTCAGATTCATGTTAACATGAAATTACAGTCTATTCAAGTGTTTAATGTAATGGGACATAATTATAAACTGTCCTGGCTGGTGTTGAGGTGACAGCAGGTGACCTATGACCCCATTTATTTTAAAAAAAGAGGATGCTAGTCTATAAACTTCTCATTAATTTTTCCAAACCAGGCACAAGATATTTTTTTCTATTTTTTACACCATGTACAATTGTACACCAAAGATGTTAACCCAGGAAGTGCAGAGCAAAGTTTAGACCAGGCTGCAACCTCCTGTCTTCAAAAAAGAAGCCAGTGCAGAAGTGCTAGAGACTGCAATTCCTCTAGTGTCCACTTGAAACAGGCTGCAAACCCGACTATAAGCAAGATGGCTTCTAGCAAAGAAGCTCAACTCTGCTTTTCTGCTTCTTGCTAGGTCAACTGGAAGCTAGCTTTAGTTAGCATTTTTGATATGCTGATTGCCATTGATGGGTGAAGTAACTGAGACTATGTACATTATGTATAATCTGTGGTTGGATGGAAAGATTGCTGTCCTCTTAATTGGTGAAAGCTTAAGCTGACTGTTCTGGGATCAACCCATGGACTGTTTTTCGATGAAATTTCTTTCACAATATCACATTTCACTTCTAGATTGATGGACAAAAGAAAGGATGGTTTTAAAACAGAAAAACCTAATAAGTCAAATCAAGGAAAATAACCCAACATTTCCCACCATGTGTTTAGTTCACTGTGAGTAATGCACAACAGGAGCAAAGGGTTCAGTTACTTCTGTTCTGCAGAGGAACATCTTCTCCCTCCCATCGCGACAGTTACATATCAGATGGCTCATCTCTTCTTTTTCTCTTTTTCATACTCATCAATTTCTGATCAGTCAAAGTCAATTCACATATTCGAAGAGTCTTTCCAGTAAACTGAGCTCACCACAAAGACCCCTTCCTAGGGCCATTTACTAGTTCCTGCTGCAGTTTTACACCAGGCACGTTCGACAACTGAAGTCTGTTCCAAGCACTCATCAGATCGCAGCTCACTCGATATTATGTCATACTTCCTCGCCTTTTGAATTAGACCGAGAACCATTTGTTTGACTTTGATACCGACGCCTGATTTTCGCTAGTCCTCCTCTCCCTTCCCAATGCACACAAACACCCACATCCACACCTCATCAGTCAAAGGGTCCTTCGCCATGGCAACAGTAAATGAAAGCAACCTGAAAGAGCCCCCAGTGAGTGGCGGATGCTGGGGCTGCCTGCATTGTTGGAGGGAGGATCTGGCAACCTGCAATCACAAGCCCTCTATTCAGGCCCTCTTTAGTATTACTCAGCAAGTCAGGATTTACTGCATCATGGCTTCCGTTCTTTTCAACCCTGACTGGCACATTGGCATGAGATAAGTGCCGCTTAGAAACGTGGCACAGTGGCTGCCCATGCACAATGCCCCGTGGCCCTCACACTGTGTGTATGTGTATGTGTGTGTGTATCCATGCACATCTGTGCGTGTGCAGCCTGTAATGAATCTTTATTATGTTTTGGTCTGGCCTTCAGGTCCTGGATGTCCGTCCTGAATCAGAAGCCATGCTCAGTGAAGGGACCAGGGTGTGTGCTTACTGGAGTGAACGCTCTCGCTGTTTATATCCAGGCTACGTCCGCAGAGGTGAGTCATCGGCTTCCTCTGTCTCTGTTTTCCTGTGCAGTCTTTGTGTTTTCAAGTATATATTTAATCATACATACAGTGAATCACAGTTCGGCATTTGCTAATTCCCCTTTATCCCTCTGGAAATGCCTTTTTGTCTCCCGCAGGTGGCTCATCTGATGAAGGGAAGCAAGGAGGAGTGATGGTGGAGTTTGACGATGGAGATCGAGGGAAGATTTCTCTCCCGAACATCCGCCTCCTGCCTCCAGGATACCAGATCCACTGTGGGTGTTTCCTCCGTGGAAGATCGCCATTTAAATGTTGCACTTTATTGGCCTGCTGATGTAAATGCTAAAAAATCTTCCACATCTTTTCTTTTAGGTGCGGAGAATTCTCCTGTTGTGTCGGTATCCGGCGGGACAACAGCCAAGAGAAGTTCCAGCCTGGAGCAGGCACCCATCAGCGACAGACATCTCAACAGACTCGGCACTAATATAAATGTCAACAGTATCAACAGTCAGACTTTAACAGTTCACAAAAGAAGGCCGGGTAAAGATGAATCCTTAAAAGCCCAGTTTTTATTTTCTATAACCTCACTTATTTTGCTTTGTTGTGTTAGATAAAGAGGTGCTCTGAAGAAATAAGTGCACAAATGAGATGTGAGTCATATTTCATTACAGTATACCAACAAAATCCTTTTTTTTTTTCGTTTTAGGGAGACCAAAAGGTTCTGGGAAAAAACAAAAGCAGCAGCAGCAGGCTGAGAACGCCAATAAAAACACCTCACCTTTCCTTAGTTGGCCGTCATTGACCAGCACCAGGAAAAGGACGTCTGACAACTTATTCCAGCTCAACGGGACACCGAGGAAGGCCTCCAGAGGGAAGGAGGATGATCTGTTTTCCTTGCCTCAGACGCAGACACTGGCTTCCACACCGGCCAAAGGCATTTTCAGCAGCAGCTCCTTTGAGGTGGACTCCTTCAGCAGCATTGCAAATGGTTATTCGTCCTTCTGTACTCAGTCAACAGGGCCAAGTCCAGGTCTATCTCTGGGCCCCAGAAGTGGTCTCTACGATCAGAGGCGCAGGCAGGATGACTGTGTTATGCCAAAGAGCAGGAAGTCTGGACAAGAGTTCCTGGTCAAGTTGGATCATGAAGGAGTGACCTCCCCAAAGACGAAGAACAGCAAAGCTCTGCTGCTGCGAGGTGGATCTTCCGGTGTGAGTTGTATGCCAAGGACAGAGGCTTACTCTCACCCGGTCCTGCTGGTTAAAGACAACAAAAAGGGCGGCGCCTCCCGGGTAGAACTCCTTGTGAAAGGGACAACACCTCAAAGAAAGCCTTCGGATTCTCTGCGTCTGGGTGAATACGGGGACCTTGGCTTTAGCTACCACAGAGAGTGTCACAGCTCGTACTCAGATCTGGATGATGAAGAGGACGAGAGGAGGAGGGCTGCGCTGGCTGCAGCCTCAGGGGGACTAAGGACGGCTGGCCGCTTCCTTTCTCGTCTCTCTGTCTCCTCTTCGTCTTCTGGTTCCTCCAGCTCCTCCTCCTCAGGCTCTCTGTCCAGTTCCAGCCTGTGCTCCTCTGACAATGATTCCTCCTATAGCTCGGAGGATGAGGATGGTTCAACGCTGATGCTTCAGAGTTGTCTGTCTTCCCACCGGGGGCTCCTGCAACCCTCTGAACCTTCCACTTCATCGAGGCCACACCAGCATTCGTTTGTGGCCAAAGCTGTGGCTGTCCCCAACGCCAAAGGAGGACTTTCTGAACAGGTGTCCAATTCCAAGTCCCTGAAGAGGAAAGAATGCATCAGCTCCACCTCGAAACCATCGAAGGATTTTGTAAAGAAACCGAGGATGCTTCCGGATGAAGGTTCATTCATTCCAAGGCCTAAGATGTCTTCATTTCTTGCTGGGCGACAAATGTGGAGGTGGTCAGGAAACCCTACACAGGTGAGAAAAGTCCCACTTACCTTCAATATATTGTCTTACTAGATACTAGAGTTCAAGGGAGTGAAGGTAATTCAAAGTCTGGTTTTCCACAGCGGCGAGGTCTTAAAGGCAAGGCCAGGAAGCTTTTTTATAAGGCTATCGTGCGAGGAAGGGACATCATGAGAGTGGGAGATTGTGCTGTGTTCCTCTCCGCCGGGCGCCCAAACCTTCCGTACGTCGGCCGGATTGAAAGCTTCTGGGAATCCTGGACGTCCAACATGGTGGTTAAAGTCAAGTGGTTTTACCATCCTGAAGAGACCAAGCTTGGAAAGAGGCATCGAGATGGCAAGGTAGGCCGAGATGGTCTTAACATGTCATGGTTTTTTCCTTGTTCTCTCATATCGTGTTGCGGCTCACCCTGTCTTTCCTCTACCCAGCATGCCCTGTACCAGTCCTGTCACGAAGATGAGAATGACGTCCAGACAATCTCTCATAAGTGCCAGGTGGTGAGCAGGGAGGAGTACGAGTGTCTGACTCGCAACCAGAAGCCCAACAGTACTCCCCCAGACCTCTACTACCTGGCTGGGACGTATGATCCCACTTCTGGTCAGCTGGTTACCGCTGAAGGGGTTTCCATCTTGTGCTGAACCTCAACGAGGACACTACTGAAGGACTCCTTTGGAGGAAGTTTAAGTCCAAGACATTATCTACAAGACTCTCAGACACTGGAGGATGATACGTTTTCCTTGGGTATGCTTCGAGGATCATGGACTAAATGTTAGCACCAAAGCAGGACCGTCTGGGGTTACACACTGGAGTCTATAACATCAAACGAAAGGATGTCCAAAATAGGTGTATCCTTTCGAGAAGAATAAGAGCAAGTCTGGGTCTTCCTGGGCAAATTCAATAAGTGGCATTTCGATCGTCTTACTAATCTTTTTTTAATGGATCCATTTGTGGACAACTTTAAGGAGACTCATGTTTCCAGCTCTCGTTAAACGTCACCAAAGGAGAGCTGAGAGTGCTCTTGACTGTGAAAAGTACCATGTGGAAGAGTCTTTGCGGACCAATTCTTGAAAAGGTAGCCTTACCTAAGGGAATGGAAACAAAAGTGAGGCACGGGGGGCTCTCCCTGGACCTCGTCATTCCAGGGAAGTGAAAAAAAAAAAAAAAAAAACATGTACAGGATGTAAAGTTGATGTCTGTAAATATTTTGAATTTATCCCAATCAAGCCATACACTTCAGTACCTCTCGCCTGTCTTAACAGTTCAGGTGTACATTGTACAGTTCAATTATTGTATTGTTGTCTGTTGTCTATATGTACATAAAAACTATTTTATATAGGAGTTTATTGTATATATGAGATGTATCTTTCCATGTTTGCGATTGATTTATTTTTATATGGGTGTAGAATACATGACATTGTTTTTCCTTTGCTTTGGGAAGTCAAGATTGGAGGTGTTCGTGTTGCACTGCATATGCCCTGCTGAGACCGACAGAGACAGACAGAGCACAAACAAAGACAGAAGGATTTAGTCTATGACAGGACAAGGCCTTCTTTCTGAGAGGAAGGGGTCATCCTGTTTAAAAAATAGGTCAAGTGGCTTTTTGTAAGAGTGTTCAGTTTCTTTGCATATTTGTTCTCCTACTTTTAATAACACCTTTTTATTTATGTACCTCTCGGTTGGTCATTATCACGAGGCAGATCCCATCGGACTGCAATCACGGGTCAAAATGATTAAAGATTAATGATATGAGTATACCATAACGACACAATATTTGTGTGTGATGAGTGTCCTGGCATCACTATAATCATGTCCACACAAATCAATTGAGAACAAACAAGACTGGGTCTTTTAATGAAAAAGCATCAAATGTGCACTCATGAATGCAAAGTTCAGCACATTGTGACCAACAAAATACCAAAGTGTCTTTAATATCTTTATTTCTTTATTTAAATTTAACATATGTCAAGCACCTGTACTGAACTCAAATCAGAAATCACTGGTAACTTATAGAAAAACTTGTCCTCCACTATGTGCATAAATATATATATTGGCTTTGCATTGTGACAATGGTTTCTTGCACATGTACCTGCAGTTTTGTTTAGTGCAAACATATGCAGCAAAAGGCCACCTGGAAGTGTGACTATGAAGGTCAAGGTACTGACAAAGTAAGACGTAGAGTGCTGACAATTTGTTGGAATTAGTCTATTTAAATTTCATCAGCCGTCTGTGTCTATTTTGTACAGTACACGCACATTCGAGATGCTAACTGTGAAGGACAATCAGATTCACAAAGCAATGGACATAGAATAGGTTCACTCAATCTGAAAATGACTTAAGTTTATTTAATTTGTGCCAAGTACATTTTTGTCTTTTGTTTGATATGCAATCTTGAGTATTTCTTTTTTTTTTCTCTGTTCACAAAGTTTTTATTTTGTTCGCCAACTTTTTATTTATTGTCAATGTTGCTGTTTTTTCATGCCAAGAGCGCTTTATGAGAATGTGACATTGTTTTTTCTTGGTGTGATGTCGCATTTGCATTTCTTAAATAAAACCGGTCTTGTAGAGGCCATCTAGTGAAAAAGAAATAAAGCAACACTGGATTCTTCTCATCCACAAAACCTCTGTGCATTAATTTTATTGTTGCAGCTGTGTCCCCCCCGTCATCTTACTGCACCTGCCAATTCTCATCAACACATTTACGTCAAACAAAACAATTTTTACTATCACCTTTTTTTTTTTGCAACCAAACTGTGAAAAATTTCATTTTTTCTACTTCATTAACAGAAACAAACACTAAAGAACACCAAAACTGTTGCTGTGCTCAACAGCTATAGTGTGAGGAGGATAATAAACCATTTACGTCACCCTTAAAGGGCAATTGCATAGAAATGGGAATACTTGGCAGAATCAAGAGATCAGATTTCAGATTGCTCTCTTGTTCACCCCGTCTCACTGGTAAAATTCAAGAAGTTATGGTGGCCTTGAGAGGTCAAGAAGGTCCCATGATACATTTCCAACCTATCTTGCACAAAACTACTCTCTTCCTTCCTCTTCCCAAGCTAGTTTTTGTCTCTTTTGCACTGCTATAGAAACATGGCAAAATGGCCTGAGACATTCTGGCTGCAGACCTCCACTCTCAGGACCCTTCATTGAGGACCATCACTGAGCGGACGGGAGGCTGATTTGAAGCCTTTCAAAATAAAATCCATTAGACCGGGAATAAAGTATTTTTTCGTCTTTTGTGAATACATTTTATTTCTTTTGCCTTTATTTTGTGTATATAATGTTGATATGAATTTTTTTTATGTATTCATGTGTTCAACAAAGAGAAAGTACAAAATGGGATGACCACTTCAAACAAACTGGAGCACATGAGAGAAAAAATACACCTTAGATCCTCTCAGTGGAGGTGGTGGAGGTCGCCCATAGGCTGTATCAGGTGTCAATCATAGGAAACATGAACCCCCTAATAATGTTGAAAAATTGAGCTGTACAGAAAAAAAAATGACTTGAGCACAAACCAGTCCTACAATAACTACACGTCAACATCGCCATCGGGTGGGGGAAATTTATGTTCTGTGGAATAATTTTCTCAAGTTTGTCCGGAGCTCCATAAGGACGGCTGGCGGAGGTGGGATTTATGAGCTACACTGCAGCCCGTCACCAGGGTGTGCTGTTCTCAGAGTGGCTACACGCAGCAAAGAGGCAGACTCTGTCCATTCTAACACGGTCTATGGTCCCCTCTCAGATGGCAGCCTCCATGGACAGAGATCTGCTCCTTTAAAGACATAAATATCTCAATCTAAGCTAATTCTTTGTGCCTTAATTTGAGTAGTAGTAACTAGTCAAAATAAAGCACTTGACATACTGTATGTTGTGCAGCTGATCTGCATCCTTTCACCAGGAAGGTGAGTGAACGAGTCGTTTAACCCTCGTGGCGAACTTGATTTATCATTGTTGATCAGTTATACTACCTTTAAAACGACTATTTTTACTTTTGATTCTTGGGCTGGTTTCTCCTCTAACCATCCCCCAGCCTCCACCTGTTCTACTTTTCTATTACAACACACGGCGATGGCAGCCCTTGCCTTGTTGTGCATTATGTATACCGCATATTTCATTTATATGTGAGCAGGCCTCTGTTCTTTATACACCTCAGGGAGTTTTAATATGCTCCCTTTAGAAATTTTGATTCATTTGAAAAGCACCAAACCCTTATTCTGCCAATTCTTTTATTTGTTGCGGTAAATCCTTTGATGTTAGTGTCTCTGGCTGAACTAAGTTTATGTGAGCTTTGAGTTCCTTAGTAAATAGAGACAAATCTGTCACAGCATCAAATAAAGCCCACTGGGTTTAGCTGCCAAGCTCTGTAAATATGATGTTGACTGATTCAGGGATAGATCCGAGTTTTTCTGTGATTTATGATAAAGTACGTTTGCCTGTTCTCTTTCAAAACTAATTGGTTGTTGGTGTATCTGGTGGACAATGAAATAAACTCGCGAACAAACAAACAAAAAAAGGAAATTGGTCCATAAGCTGTTGTTCTGTTGCATCCTCAAAAGGTCCGTCAGAAAACAAAGATTTATTTATTTTTTTAAGATTTGTAAATGGGAAATTTCTGAATAGTGAAGAAAATTAGAAAATAAAATATAAATAAGTGCTTTCAAGAGTTATTCTACCGACAAAAGTGTAAAAATCAAGGCAAATCTTCATTTTTTGTGGTTTGCAAATCATTTAGTGCTAACACCCGACTGAAAATAGTGTCAAGAAAAGAGATCAAACAAAAAATGTCTCGAAAATAGACGCTCATTTCGGCAAAAAAAATACCTGAAGCAACATCTCCCAACCAATTAGGTTCATTTGCAAAACATCAGAGGCATAACTGAGTATGAAAAGGGCACTTCAGAGAGTGTAAGTCTCTCAGGAGTAAAGATGGGAAGAGGTTCGCCACTCTGAGAGAGCAAATATTTCAGCAATTACAGAATAATGTTCCTGAGTGGAAGAATTTCAGGATTTTATCAAGTGCAGTGTATAATTTCATGGAAAGATTTAGAGAATCTGGAGGAAATAAAAGCGAGCAAAACAGTGCTGTATGGTTGTGAAGCAGCACTGCATTAAATAAAGACATTACTCTGTCGTAGAAGTTACAACATGCGCTCAGAATTAGTTACAAAAAAACAATGTGTGTGAATAAAATCGGGTTAAAACTGAACTTTGCAAAGAAGAACTATCCTGATTCAGAATCACAAGGGACTTATTGCAGTCTAGGCCCAGGATGGACTGAGGGATGGTTTCAGAATCAAAATCTGACCTTCTTTCTGGAAATTACGGATAGTTATCAACACACTGTTTGAAAACCAGTGTCACAGCGACCGCCTTCAGACTATACGCTTCTTATAAAATCAGACGCACAACAACAAAGAGGAAAAACTGTTGAGCAGCAGAGACCCATCAGGCAGGAACGGGACGACAGTTCACTCTGGAAACTTCAGAAACGGGTCTCTTCAGCGTTGTCGAAAGAAGAGGTGATGCAACACAACAGTAAACGCAACTCTGTCAAAACTGTTGTGCAATGTGTTTCTGGCATCAAATTTAAAATATGCATGTATTTTCTTTTTTCAGTTTGAACATTTAATATTCTGCCTTTGAACTATTTTCATTGGATTTTAAATTATTTGTACACTTTCAAATTCTGTTTCGGTGAACATTTTACACAATGTCACGACAACTTGGGATCTGGAGTTGAAAAAAGAAGGAAGATCTCAAAGTTTCAGCAAATTCAATGTTTCAGTTTAAAAAATGAGTACATGATGAGCATGTCTATGAAACACAAATGTAAAGGAGGGCACCCTCTAGTGGAAGGAAACATGCAACAGCACACAAAATAAGCACAAATATTTGCAAGAGTGGGATTGTGTGTTTTTTTTTTCAAACTATAGGTGGTAGAAAATCATAATTTCAATTCCAGCAGCAGCATCTATATTCTCTATATCACCACAGGGGCTGTAACATGCAGCATCTGTACATTTGCATACATGCTCACCAGCTCTGACAACACCAATCGCTGTAACCTTCGTCAGAGGTTTAACCACTGGCTAGGCCTGAAGGGGACACAATATGGGTCAGTGACCTTTCTCTGCAGGCCCATGGGGTCTTTTTGTCCTGCATGGAGACCGAGCGCCGCCACCCCTCCCCCTGATGCCCAGACAGGGGCTAATGGGCACATCAGTCATCTCCAACAGCGGGCCAGTGAACACAAACAGCTCTGTTTACCACCACAACCTTTAGTGTTGACTATGGCCACTGCCCCGTGTCAGAGCCGTAACCCTTCCTGCATCAGCAGCATGAGGGTAGGAGGGACTCGTCTCACCGCTGGAGTTAAAGACGGGGGTTAGGAGTGGGTGTGTTGGGGGGTTAAGGTTATTACTGTGTTTTGAGAGGGATCTGCTTCATTAGTCCTCTGTGTTTAGAGAAGCAGGCCAAAGATGTGAGTCATGAGTGAGCTAATGCGAAAAGAAGAACGACAATTAATGTCGCACTTAAGTTTTTAACAAATGATGCACTTTGAATAAAGCAGGGGAGATAAAGCCAGTAAAATAGGTCAATACGCTGAAAAAATCAGGACCTGGTTTCTGTTACGTCTCACTCGACACACTGGTCTGCCTGCCTGACTTCTTAGTGCCTGTCTGGTTCAGCTCGCTCAGCATCCAGACTGTGTTGCTCAGTGTCAACAGGAGGAATGCTTTCCTGCACAAATATCTACACCTCATAAATGTCTCGCCCTCTGCTTGACCCTGTCTGGCCTCTGACTGTGAAGGGGTTGAACCGGGGACAGACAGCCCAGTGTGTGTGCGTAGCAGAGGGGTTGAGGTGAGGTCTAGGGTCTCAACATGGTGCTGGGAGAAGAGTGGAGGACAAACAGATCACTCAGATGCTGACTGGGTCTTCTTTGAGGGCACAAAAAACCCTGATCATTGTTTTTTTTTTTTTTTTGAGGGTATCAGTTATGGAGCACATGCAGCCGCAGCAGAATAACCCGACCCATACTGTATGCAGATGTAAGACACAAGCTTCCAAGTAATTCCTCTATGGAGTGAAGCAATAGTGCGGCAACAGCGTGAAAAACATGGAGCATCTTTGATGTCTGCATCTGGAAACAAATATTAAAGAGCAAGTCTTGCTGAAGAGAGAAACACGCTTTTGCAGCTTACATGAAAAATATGAATTCAGAACGAGGAAAAATACGAACAAGTGTGAGAGAGTCTGGTAACACTTCACAATAACCATAACTTATAAATGGTAAATAGACCATTTATAAATGATAAGCAGATAGTTTATTAATGTTTAATCATTATTTATAAATAGCATATAGAACATTAATCAATTGTGGATTTTAAATTTTAAAAACATAAACCTAACCCTAACTTTACAATAACCATCTAAGTGGAGTTTATAGATGGTTTATAAACGACTTATTAACCATTTACAAAGTATTACAAACATCAGTTGCAACTTTACAATAACCATCTAAGTAATGTTAATAGATGGTTTAAAAAACAAATATTAACCATTTACAAAGTGCTACTAACACACATTTTAATCTAGATGTTTTACAACCAACATTTAAACCCTATAAAAACCTTCAATAAATAGTCCATTAATAATTGATGAAGATTATTAATCATAATTTCATTGCTTGTTAATGTAAAGTAACTATTATCCTACATTAATAAACTATCTATTTGCCATTTATAATTGGTCTATATGCAATGATGATTAAACTATCTATTTATTTATAAATTATGGTTATTGTAAAGTGTTACCGAGAGTCTTGATGCATCTTGGAATAAACTTGACCCTGAATATTTTGTAAAGGGGCAGATTCAGGACTCCGTCTATCAGCTGTGACATGTTTATGAAACTTCCACACAGTGAAGCAGTGTATTATTGCCACCTGTTAGCTGCAGATTTCGCCCACTCAAAAAAGAAATGCCGGACAAATGCGTGCTCCTGTGTTGCCTGGACATATGCCGCTCGCTAACCAGGCTGTGTTGCTGCTTACCGTGGCCCACATCCAGCCGTGCCACCCCTAATCCATTTCTCTGTAGCTCATTATTAGTGGCTTGTAAAGATTCTGTATCAGCTATGCTAAGAGAGCTTTTCGCAGCATTACACAGGATTACTGTTGCTCCTCGCTACATATGTTGCTCACAAACTCTGATGTAATATTGCAACCCTGTTTACATGCTGCTGACAGACTAACAAATGCATGGCTCACCATCGGGGCCTTCCCTCTCATGGTGCTGGTTCAAGTTTTTTGAGTTTGTATCTTTCCATGTGTTGTATTCGACCACATTTATGCATCAATAAGGAAATGAAAAAGCATATGGCCCGTCAGCACAGACAAGGGGACTGGTTTACACTTGTTGCTGCCAACACCTGCACCAATCTGGCTTTGCTCTAACACATATAGATGCCTCCATGTGTCCCACTCACAGCTTAACAATAAGGCCTTGAGCAAACACCTGCAAACATTTGATCTCCTGCATCCACACCTCGCACTCCTGACCCGACAATAGCAGGAAAAACTTACAGCCTGTCATAAAAGGGTCAGGCGCCTGCGAGTATTATCCTGTTAGTCAGCGCAGGACAGATGGAAACGCTTAAAAATAAAAAGTAATAAAAACATTATTGCATTTGGCTCTCTGGAAGGGCGGCAAGTGAGCTCTATTATTTGCAGATTCAAGCAAGAAGTTCATAATTGATAACTCGAGTTTCAATGCTGTTACCCCTTAGTTTCTGAAGTGGTGTAGCGCAGCTAAATGACCGCAGCAACTTTTGGGATAAAACCAAGAATTTATCTTTTACTTCTTGCTAGCTGAGTTACGAAGCGGTAGTTTTTCACTGTAGTAAAAACAGTTAAAATTGCGCCCCCACCTGCATGCCGTTGCAAGTTACACATCGCCAAAGTGGAGCGGTTGTATGCAAGTTTAACCAGACGAACGGAAAATACATTTATTGCCTCGATTTGACCAGAACTGGACTTTAAAAAAACTTGTTTACACATTAGACTGACTGAAATTGCACTGAATTGAACATAAGCTAAAGCTAAATAACATGGTTGTACTGCTAGGAAGCTAGGTTGTAAACATAAACCTTGATAGACGAAGAATGAAGTTTTAAAAAAAACTCAAATTTTCTTGCTTAAACTTTGTCAGGATATAAGATTTACACTTCCATCTGTGCTTGTTTACATCCCATTAGTTGAGCTCTGTTGACCAGAACTACAACCTTCACTAGTGAAATCTGGTCGTGCGATACAAAACATAATTTGACCAGCATTACAGGTGACTCATTAATTATTAATTCAACCCTCCAGTAACTGACTTGCAAGGGTGGTGACATTTATCTGTTAGCTAATCAAATGCACACAACCCTACGAAAAAAAACAGGCAGAGGTGGAGTCAGGGCAGGCGAAAAGCCTCCTGGTAAACAACAACAACAATGCACCCAGCTGTCAGTCAAATCAGCCACATCCCTAATTATAAATGGCCCCTTGGCGAAATGATCATAATCAGATTAGATATGTTAAAATTCAGCCCACTACTGTTCTTACATTCAGGCCTTTTTAAAGGTTTCTAATGCTGGTTTCTCGCCCTTTAAGACCAGTTTTAAGAGGATATTAGAGGAAGTGTGGTGTTTTGCTCTTCCAGATTAGTTTAACTTGAGGCATCAGGAGCTATAACTGTCTCATATCTAAGCTAAGGCAGCAGGGACAATTCATTTACACTTGTAATTATGCATACCATCTATAAGAGGAGAAACAGTTCAGGTACTGCATGGGAAAAAAGCACTGCTGCTCATCCTTCACAATACTCCTCTCTTTCCCTCCACACCTTGCTGTGTAGTGGTGTTTGTGCATTCCTGTGTCGACAACCCCTCCATCTTGTTCTCTGGGGTGTTTACCCCCTTTCACGGTAGCAGGGAAGCAGCTCCCGCCATCCCATCTCTGTTTACATTGCTCTTCTCCTCTATTTACTCAGTGCTCCAGCGCCCTGGCGCACCGCGCTCCAAACAGCTGTTCCATTATGGAGAGAGCAGGCGCTTCAACCACACAGTGCTGCCACACAGATCTCTCCTCTCTCTCTCTCTCTCTCTCTCTCTCTCTGTGTGACAGCCCACCATGGCTGCTAGCATGACGACTGCCTGGCTCTGCTGGCACGCCTGCCATTGTTGCCATAAAGATCAGTCTCCTTCAATGCCAGAGTGGCTTCTGGGCATAGAGTCAGCCAGGGCAACTGTCGGAGATTGTCTTCAAACCGCAAGACAAATTTGCGAGTTTAGCTTTTGATTAAGTGTCTCCGTATGGGATGCAGTTCTGTGGTGATTTAAAACAAGCGGCAATCATATCCAGATGATCTAAAATAAACTGGTACGAACATCTTTACAATGAGACAGCTTTTGAGGAGTGTCATTAAAAACATACGGCATTTTCACCATTTAAGTACCTCATACGTCCTACTGCTACATGACATCATCCATAGGGGCCGTTATCTCGCAGAGCGTGATGATCCTTCTTCAGAAAACGCTTTGCCTGGCGAGCTGTCGGGTGAAAGAAAGACTATTGTCTAACTGACTGCCTGAGGGTCACACCATACCATGAATCTCCAGTGAATTATTTTTACCCTTTGCTTTTTCTTTTTTCCTGCTGGTGTGCACAGCTGGTGCTGAGTCAGGAGACAGGAAACCTGGAGGAAGGCCACCAAGCATCCTCAGGCTCCCAGTGGACCGCTGCAGGGCCGTGTGGCTGCAGAGACAGGAGACACTCCATTTATCACAATACAATAGCTTCTGCTTGGGGCC